GTTTAAACCTCGCTTAAACCTCATTGGCTCTCGTGTGTATGTTGACGCGTCATATTTGAATATACATAATTTTCAGACGTATGTCACTTGCAGCTGCCCGCGCATTGTGGTGGGAAGTGAAGGAAAATGGGGAAATTACATTACGAATAAGAGAAAGAAATGGAATTTATGGAATACCGTTGTTGAAGACGACCTTCAATGGTTAAACTTACAAAACTGTTGAAACCTGCAATACTGTTAAAGCATGAATCTAATCAATAGGTTTAAAAATATATTCACATATGCAGTTCATATAGGGGACATGATGTATTATCCCTACAATTACAGCATGACCTCATTTTAAAATACATTTTACAATATTTGTTAATTTCTGTCTTCCGTTATGTATTTCCACAGCATGAAGGTAAGATCTTACATATTTATTAATGAACAGCTCGTTTTAAAATCTTCCTGGTCTGATATCTGTTAAGACATCCGCTTCAATCTTTACAATGTTAAAGTGTAGTTGACTCTACAGTGAGTAAATCCACTTCAGCAAATAATTACTCTTCAACAGCGATGCGATGCCATAGATATACACAGAGCGGCCGCAAAAACAGAAGATATAACGCAAAGTGCTTGCTTTTTTCTCTTTTCTTCCAATTGTGACTTTATATTTCGCAATTGAGAGTTTATATCACAATTTTGAGGAAAAAAGACAGACCAACGTGTTTATATCTGTCAATTTCTTCTCTGAATTTTGAGATATAAACTCGAAAACAATGTTTTTATTCTTTTATTACGTGGCTTCCTCGGAGTGCTTCTGTCGAACTGTGTGTTTTCTGCCACAAGGAAAGATCCGCCCACAAAACACGTCACGTTTGCAAACACCCAGATGTCTATGTGCCACTGATGATATACAGAGTCAAATACGGCTCGTTATTAACTCTTTGTTTTATTGAGGAGATGTACATGTTTTCATGACAGAATACATTTGAATGCCAGTGTGTTTTACAGTTAAATGTATTACTATTCAGAATAAACAATTTTCATATATCAATGTGTTTCATGTATACGTTTCATAGAGTGGAAAGTCTGTATCCATTGTTGTTGAGATATTTCCTGTTTTTATCACACCCGGAGGTGGCTGAGGGGCTTCTTGGTTTGACTCAAAGAAGAAACCACAAGCTGAAGAACATCTCATAATGTTGATGTTTATCTCACTGACCACAGCATCAAACCACCCTGCAAACACAAAGCACTGAGACTCTTAAGCAAGTCTCTTTAACCTAGTAAAACAGTCTCGGTTTAGTTTGGTTGTGAAGAATAAAGAGGCTTCTTCAAGAAACCCGCAGTGACACACATGAGACTGATCAGAGAGAGAAACATTGAAGTAGAAGATGTGCAGATCTGCAGAAGAACAAGACTAAGGTCTGGTCATGTTTCACAAAAGACAATAAAAACCAAGATCCCACTCCAGATTGAAGATTGACTGTATTACACCATGGACAGCCAGAACACTAGTTCCCTCATGCTGTTGTTTTCAAACGTTTACATGATTGGTTGAAAGAACTGACAGTATTCTTATGTTGGATTTGGTATTAATTTTCTTTTAAATATAAATAATCTAACAGTCAGTTTTCAGTCATTTTGAGCCGGACGGAAAACAACATGTTTCTCTTTAATAATAAGAATTTATGAACTGAATCCATTTATTTTAAAATATTAGTTTTTAGCAGGAAGAAAACTGATTTGTCTATAACATGGAATAATATCTGTGAATGTCATTCACAAAGTTACTAGGCAACCAGTAGGTGGAACGCTAACTAGCGACCGCAAGCCATTGAGACTGGCAGCTTCAGACTGAACTTTACACACACAGTATCTGTCTCTCTCTGTTCAGTCTCATATGTCTAACTTCAGGATTCCTGAGTAAGTTACACAAAAAAACAAAAAACAATTTTCCAACAAAAAGGAAAAACAAAAACACTTCTATGGCAAATATATTCAAGATTAATATGAAGATTAAAATAAGATTCTTATCCAATTATTGATAACCAAGTGTGGCGAGTTTTGAAGAACAAGTCTTTGTTTGAGAAAGGTCGAGCATCTGGTCATGTGATGATCTGTGATCTTACAGACAAAACCACACAAGAACTTCAGTGAATGAAGAGCCAGACTCACTGTGTCTCGTTTGATGATGAACTGCGATCACATTACAACATCAGCGATGAACAACAGTGAGATGCATCTGACAACACGTCATTTAAGACGTTAAAAAAACTGTTCATAAACATTTCCTGGGGTTAGTCTTAGTTATGATCAGCATCATATTAAACAGCAGTCAATATGTTCTCATTTAGATATACATGTATGTGTGTGAAGAAGGACAGCATCACCTCATCTTAATAAACACTCGGTCACAATGAATCCTCCGATCAGCAGCAGAGTCAAACACGAAGAAATGAGGTTGAGCAAAGAGAAATCTGAAAATACAAAAACGCATACAGTGATGATTAGAGAGAAATTGGTATATATATATATAGCAAACAGAAAGTGCATGGGAAATATACACAAATGTGAATGAATGAAAAGTGTATTAAAGATCTTGTCAGGGTTATGTTCAGTTTTCCTGAGTTTTGCTGTGTTCTTTTTCCAAAGGGATCTCGCACTGCGTCGATGACGCTATTGGGGAACGCCCTCCACGTGAACTGGTGTATGAACGGCTATCCAGTCACGACAATCAATATTGAACGGCGACAGCTTATGACTCACTACTAGTGCAACCCGGAAGTATAAAATGGGTGCCTAGAGAACATGTCATCCTCTTTACGTCTTCTGGGACACCATTGGGTCACTTGATGGAGTTTTAGGACACCATTGGGTCACCTGATGGAGTTTTAGGACACCATTGGGTCTGCTGATGGAGTTTTAGGACACCATTGGGTCTGCTGATGGAGTTTTAGGACACCATTGGGTCACCTGATGGAGTTTTAGGACACCATTGGGTCACCTGATGGAGTTTTAGGACACCATTGGGTCTGCTGATGGAGTTTTAGGACACCATTGGGTCACTTGATGGAGTTTTAGGACACCATTGGGTCTGCTGATGGAGTTTTAGGACACCATTGGGTCTGCTGATGGAGTTTTAGGACACCATTGGGTCTGCTGATGGAGTTTTAGGACACCATTGGGTCTGCTGATGGAGTTTTAGGACACCATTGGGTCTACTGATGAAGTTTTAGGACACCATTGGGTCACTGATGGAGTTTTAGGACACCATTGGGTCTGCTGATGGAGTTTTAGGACACCAATTGGTCACTTGATGGAGTTTTAGGACACCATTGGGTCACCTGATGGAGTTTAAGGACACCATTGGGTCACCTGATGGAGTTTTAGGACACCATTGAGTCTACTGATGGAGTTTTAGGACACCATTGGGTCTACTGATGAAGTTTTAGGACACCATTGGGTCACTGATGGAGTTTTAGGACACCATTGGGTCACCTGATGGAGTTTTAGGACACCATTGGGTTTACTGATGGAGTTTTAGGACACCATTGGGTCACTGATGGAGTTTTAGGACACCATTGGGTCTACTGATGGAATTTTAGGACACCTTTAGGTCACTTGATGGAGTTTTTTGGTTCCTTTCCACTGTTGCCTTTGGCTTGCTCAGTTGGGGATATTCAAATGAATTAACCAATCATTAATACCCTTGATCAGCTCTACCAAACATGAATGTTTTTCCACTAAGAAACGAACATTGTTATTATGTTTTGATTGATACTGTGAAGCTGCTTTGATGCAGTCTATATTGTGAAAAGCATTATATAAATATACTTGACTTGACTTAGCTTAGCTTTTGGACTCGCTGGAGTATAGACTTAGCCAACATCAACGTGAAGATGCGCTAGGATTTAAATATTATTGAATGGGGATGTCCATTGACCCAGGTAGACTTTAGTCAGGTGCGAAAGAATAAACAATCTACCAGACTCGTTACTTAACATAATGGAATTATTTACTTTTTAAGGGAGTAACACATTGTTGTACGTTACTTTTAAAAATAACTTTCCCCATCACTGGTCACAGGCTCGAACAGGTGTGTGTTCTGTTTAATGTGCTTGAGACACATTTTCAAAAAAAAAAAAACTTAATTACTTAACTTAATTTTAAATACAAAATAATTCAACAATATTACTTACCCTGTTTTACAGTGAGATTGACTTTAGTGATGATGTGAGCTCCACACCAGTATATCCCAGAATCCTCTTCTCTCAGATCAGTGATGTTTACAGTAAAGACTCCAGTAGAAGCTTCATCACTGAAAGAGAATCGATCATCTCTGATCTTCTCCAATGAATCTCCATCCTTCACACACACGGAGGGTTCGTGTGCTTTGCAGAAGCATTTCTGATGTCCATCATGATGTTTGCACTGGACTGACACGTCGTCTCCTTCATACTTAGTCAAGTTCAGCTCTGGAAATATAGAAGAACATCAATTCACAGCCATAGTTTCACATATCCAGACGTATAAACCTTCCTCACCCTCGTTCATGATGACGATCAGATGAGTGTAAAGATAATTCACGTCTCTCTCTAATGTCACTGCACACCAGTATTTCCCAGCATCCTCTGCTCTCAGTCCAGTGATGGTCCCAGTGAAGACACCAGCAGTGACGTCATCATTCAGAGTCAATCTGTCAGTCTCTTCTCTCACAGTCTCATTGAGAGTGTTTCTATCTCTAGTGGAGCACTTCCCCTTACAGAGAGACTTTGACTTTGACTTATAGGTTGAATCATAAGGGCAGAAGATCTCAGCAGATTCTCCTTCACGTCTCACTACTGGAGCCACTGCAAACAAAGAACAGCTACATTTTACAATCATGATACAATATTTCTGTATTTGGTATGTAAAGTAAACAATAATACTTCAACTGCTCAGGTTCATGTCTGATAAATTATACAACACACACACTTTTATGTAAGATTTGATTGAAAGGTTGTTTTACTTACTACCAATATGCAGATGAACAGTATTAATAATGTAGTAACTGTACGAGTGACTGTAGACTGAAACTCCACATAAATAAACTCCTCCATCATCTGGAGTCACTGCAGTAATTCTCACACTGAAGAGATTTTTATGTCTGTCGTCAGAAACACTGAATCTTTCGGTCTTCTTCGAGGTGCTGTAAATCGTCTCAATAGAGTCTTCTCCTTCTTTGAATATGATCTTGTCATCATTAATATGATTCTGTGAATATTCACAGCTGAAGGATGCAGTTTCTCCAATATTCACCATCACTCTCTTGGAGCCTTTACAACATGAATCTATTGTTTACACATAAAAAAGAAAAACTTTTATACAGACTTATGACAAGATCAGCATGATTTTGATCTTGAATTGACTGACCTTCTTCCACGTGTAAAGTCATATCTATACCCCACTTATAAAGAACACCAATCCAGTATCCGCCAGCGTCATGTTCATTTAAACCTCTGATGTAGATCATAAGGTTTCCCTCCTTATTTCTAAACAATGTGAATTTTCCATTATTGATCCATTTATCATGTTTCATATCACTCAATATACTTCTCCACTCAGGTAATTTATTAAAGCTTTTAGTATTTGCGCTGAACCAGAAGACTTCCTCCAGAATATCCAGTGACGGTAAAGCATCTCACTGCACCTGTCAATCAGATTGATACTGTGATCAGAGACGATCATGAACAGAAAACAGCATCATTACTGCAGTGATGAAAGAGAAAAGCTCTGACCTGAGATCAGGGAGAAAGTGAAGAAGACGAGGAGGATCTTCATTGTGAGTTGAGTTCAGTCTTCTTTATGCTGAATGTCCTCTGTGTGAATCTCTCTGTCTCTACATCTGTCTGCTTTAGTTCCTTCCTCTTTATCAGTAATGATCAGCTTTACTGGCTCCTCCCACCATCAGCACTGACTACATTAATCAAACTGAAAGAGCGCCACCTAGTGGAGGTTACGGTGACTGACACTGAGAGCTCATACAGGCTTCATCTTCTCTATAGATGGACGAATGACACTGAATATAATTCATAAGCATTGTTTAAATATCCCTCTAGAGGGCGACAGTAAACATATATTGCACTGAGGTCACGCACATACAAGGTACTCTTAGAAATGGGAAAAAAATTGACATTTTTTTCTCAGTTGTCAGAAACTTTAACAGCTTATTAGGAGCAGATAGACCATTTTCGACTGTCTTTTGACTGGATTTGTTTGGATGCTTTAGGCAGAAATAATATCATAGATTGATGTTTTATAATCACCACGAACAGCCGCCGTCAGACAAACTTCACCACAGTCTACAACACGCCGTTCACACAACTCGGAGCCCAGTAGGAGTTTAACGAGGTTAATGTCATTACCTGGCAATATCTGTCCCCGGCTCAGCAGCTGGTGGGAAAAAAGGCGAGCGAGTAGAGAAAGGTACGGCGGTTGCTAGGGTCCTTTTAGGTAAAAATTCTGTGGTGACGTCATCACTTTGAGGCTGGCGCGGATGATGATGCAGGTCGGAGACAACAGCGAAAGTTGAAGCCGGGGTGGATGTCAAAAGGGAGCCGTCTTCCAGTGTTGATATCCTAGTGGACATACAGAGGAGAAAGTGCCATGAGCACTCGATCACCTCAGCACTTGGGCCCGGACGAACAGGGCATTTGACTCGTTTTTGCGCTGGGGCTTTGTTGGCCGTCTCGGGATTTTTTCGCTTCGATGTGTGCTTTTTTCCGGACTGGGGAGGAGGCACCGGCGGAGATTCAACGACTGGAATAGCTAAAGAATCGCAGAGGAGCTGAATGTCGTTTAAAAATAGGGTTTCCAGTATTTTTGCCACGGGCCAATCGCCGATGCATGGTTGGGACGATTTAAAACTCCTACGAGCGGTGGCGTTATCTTCCGGGCAGGCATCCGGCTGCCCCTGATCTGTTTGGAATGATGATGGCCGGGTTTCCTCAGAAGAGTCGTGCCATTCTTCCTCGACAGCGGACAATAGAGTGAGTAAAAACAGTACTTTTGTGCTTAACAACATGAGTGATTTTTAAACCAACGCATAAAGCAGCAGCAAGCATGTATTGAGCAAACTGAATGAGCTTTAAATGGGGCGCCTTGTTTGAGCCATTGAGCAGCAAGGGGAGTTTGTATTATTAGAAAATGACATAAGCGGCGTCTTGACTACCTGGCCTGCCAGAACTGACGCTGACGCTCAATTTATATTTATTTCACATATTTCACATTTTTAATATTGATGTATTATTTCAGGTTTTCCAATTACAGAGTCATTGAAGGTTAATCTAAAACAATATGAAAGGTCAAACATTTGAGATTAAGTAGATATTTTATAATCCACACTTATTTAAAGGAGTAGATCACTTTCAAATGACAATTAGCCCATGATTTACTCACACTCAAGCCATAGGCGCCCAAAGGACTTCTTGGTTTGACCCAAATAATTTGAATAGAAGAACAAAGAACACCACAAGCAAGCTGAAGAGCATCTACTGTTGATCTTTATCACACTGACAGTTTCAAACAACCCTGCAAACACAAAGCACTGAGACATGCCGGATATTATGAAAAATCTTAAAAATAAATGACAAAGTATGTTTAAATGTTTAAAGTGTTATTGACATATTACATAATGTTGATAGATATATGTCAATGTACTAATCTATAACATTTAAAGGATTTTTTATTCATTTAATTTCATTTATTTATTTATTTATTTTTTGGTTTTGTTTGATCTGTTTATAAAAGTTACGTTGCCAAATCACGCATTGGTAATTCAAAGTTCAAAACTTAGTAAAGGTTGAAGGTGAATTACTGAGCGATCAGCTCTTTGTCTGGATTGTCTTCTGTACACAATCAACATTAATCGTCTGTATCTCTGTGGGTTTCCTGAGTAAACGTGTTTAATTAAACTGAACCGAGACCCTTCTGTTGTTTTCTGTGGCTTTGAGCGTTTATACACAAACAGAACAAAAACACCTCCAGCAATCGTGAAAAACAACTCAGATTGACCACAGATTTTAAAAAATATATATATATTCAAGTTTCAAGTATTCACAAGTTCAACAGTTTGACATCACATGTTAGAATACTGCACAATGGCGGCACCCTGGCGGCGAAAGATAAAGTTTTTTCTTTTTTATGTTTACATTTGTCATGATTCTTATATAATTGTTGATTATAGTGGAAATCCATCTTGTAAATCATGTAAACTTGATTGACTGCTTCATTTCCCCTTTAAGGTAAGGAGGTTTCAGAATTGGTTGCAGCAGAGATGAAACCCGATCTAAGTGCATCAGTCATTTTTTCAGAAAAACCTCAAATCTTCACACAACACTTAATCAGGAACAAAATAACCTACTTAACTCGATGTAGAACCTTGATCAATTGTTTAAACTGTTTAATGGTAAATTATCGATTATTTTAAGCATAACTTTAAGCATCAAATACTGGTATAACGTGTGATGTTTTACGTCAGTTGAGTCTCATCTGGCGACTGACTGTGGCGTAATCAGAGTGAATCTCGTTCTTACTGACAGTGACTGAAGCTTCACTGATCGACTCTTCGTGCTTCTTGAAACTGACAGAGGCGTACAGGAGCTCATCAGAGGGCATTGTGGGTAGTTCATCATGACTGTTAATCTGAGCTGATCCAGGATCCGAGAGAGAATCACGTCTGCTGTCTGAACATGATGACTGAACATGGATAAAATATATTTTAAAATGACGAAACATATTATAGGCACAACATTTATACAAACACAAACACATGTACTCACCATCGTATTTTTCTTTTTGTTGTCTGATGGCGTGGTTGTTCCTAATTAAAAATAAAAATATAAATAATGTTTAGTAAGAAATAGACAACTAGATCAACGTCAAACTAAAGACGAACAGCAGCATCCGAGACAGAAACTCAAATTCCTTTAATAATTTGTGTCAACAGATAATAAATGATCAAACCTCGTCTCTTGTGTATTAATTTACACACAGTCAGAGTGAATCCACCAATCAGCAGCAGACACACACTCACACACACACAAATACTGATGATCATGGAGAAATCTGAAAATAAAACACAAATATACTTGAATAAAATAATATCCAAATGAATGACAATAAATTTCAACCCTTTTCTATCCAACATAAATGTCTGTTGTAATAGTTGTGGATAATAAACATTCAGCAATTTTATGTAAAAACATTTTATATAAATGAAATACACTATATTGCCAAAAGTTCTGGGACATCTGCCTTTACATGCACATGGACTTCCAATTCTTAATCCGTAGGGTTTAATATGAAGTGCATTTGTGAGGTTGAACAAGAACGTCTTGGCTACAGATGTAACCCTCGTTCCCTGAGAAGCGGACGGAGACGTTACGTCGGATGACGAGAATGGGGTTTTGCTTAAGTATTACTGTTGACGGCGTGCCTTATCCCACACTGCGTCCTATGCTTTATATGTTTAAAAAAATATATATATGCACATAAAATATATGTTCTTACCCTTTTTAACAGTGAGATTGACTTTGGTGATGATGTGAGCTCCACACCAGTATATCCCAGAATCCTCTTCTCTCAGATCAGTGATGTTTACAGTAAAGACTCCAGTAGAAGCTTCATCACTGAAAGAGAATCGATCATCTCTGATCTTCTCCAATGAATCTCCATCCTTCACACACACGGAGGGTTCGTGTGCTTTGCAGAAGCATTTCTGATGTCCATCATGATGTTTGCACTGGACTGACACGTCGTCTCCTTCATACTTAGTCAAGTTCAGCTCTGGAAATATAGAAGAACATCAATTCACAGCCATAGTTTCACATATCCAGACGTATAAACCTTCCTCACCCTCGTTCATGATGACGAGCAGATGAGTGTAAAGATAATTCACGTCTCTCTCTGATGTCACTGCACACCAGTATTTCCCAGCATCCTCTGCTCTCAGTCCAGTGATGGTCCCAGTGAAGACACCAGCAGTGACGTCATCATTCAGAGTCAATCTGTCAGTCTCTTCTCTCACAGTCTCATTGAGAGTGTTTCTATCTCTAGTGGAGCACTTCCCCTTACAGAGAGACTTTGACTTTGACTTATAGGTTGAATCATAAGGGCAGAAGATCTCAGCAGATTCTCCTTCACGTCTCACTACTGGAGCCACTGCAAACAAACAGACCTTTAACACACATGATTCTGAATATACTGTATTTACAGTCATGAAATCATCTGAATTCACTCACTGAAGAGGTTGAGCTGAATCTTAGTGGTCAGGGAGATGAAAGTCAGATGTGTGTCTCTGGTTTCGGCTCCACACCAGTAAACTCCAGCATCTCTCACACTCACATTACTGATGCTCACTGTAAAAACTCTCTCTTCATTTCTCTCAGATGAAGGACTCATTTCTGTCACTGCAGATGTGGTTAATGTCTGGCATATGTGATCATCAATCTCTCTACAGAAATGAACTCTATGTTCCTGTGGGATCTGACAGGTGATGTTGACTTCTTCACCAAGATGAGCAGATTTAGTCACAAACTTTACATCTGTAAAGCAAGAAAAAATACATTTAAAGCAGAAGAAATATATTTTTATACACTATATACACGGATTCTTGCTCTCTGAACATCCATCTGATTCTCTACAGATGTATTTTGGCTTGGTTTTGTGTTGAGGATGTTCACACTTGATCATCATACGACCTCCTGAGTGGCCAGTTGCTCTAGACACGCCCACTTTAACTGTCAATCACACATATCATTAAATCTCAAAGACAATTTATTTGCCAGATTTGATTGAGAGTTTGTTGTACTTACTAATACGTAGATGAACAGTATTAATAATGGAGTAACTGTACGAGTGACTGTAGACTGAAACTCCACATAAATAAACTCCTCCATCATCTGGAGTCACTGCAGTAATTCTCACAGTCATGAGTTGATTATGTCTGTCATCAGAGATACTAAATCTCCTGTTCTTCTTCCATGTGCTGTTAATCATCTTCTGAATAGAGTCTTTTCCTTCTTTGAATATGATCTTGTCATCATTTATGTGATTCTGTGAATATTCACAGCTGAAGTTGGACGTTTCTCCAATATTCACCATCACTCTCCTTGACACATTACAACAGGAATCTGTTGTAAAAAAGAAAATATAAGAAATACATTTATTTTATGAATATAAAAGCTTTGTTAGCTAAATTATCAGTAGTTTTACTAAACAAAAACTTTAATCTTAAAATGACTGACCTTCTTCCACCTTCAAAGTAATATTGATGGACCACTGGCCTTCAACCTTAATCTGGTATCTTCCAGCGTCATGTTGGTTCAGTTCTCTAATGTAGATCATGAGTTTCCCCTCATTGTTTTTAAACAGTGTGAATCGTCCTTCATTAATCCATTTATCATGTTTTCTATCATTTATAATTGGTCTCCACTCAGGTAATTTGGCCATATATTTAGCGGAGTTACTGAACCAAAGTTTCCCAGAATCAACCAGAAGACTTCCTCCAGAATATCCAGTGACGGTAAAGCATCTCACTGCACCTGTCAATCAGATTGATACTGTGATCAGAAACCTCATGAACAGAAAACAGCATCATTACTGCAGTGATGAAAGAGAAAAGCTCTGACCTGAGATCAGGGAGAAAGTGAAGAAGACGAGGAGGATCTTCATTGTGAGTTGAGTTCAGTCTTCTTTATGCTGAATGTCCTCTGTGTGAATCTCTCTGTCTCTACATCTGTCTGCTTTAGTTCCTTCCTCTTTATCAGTAATGATCAGCTTTACTGGCTCCTCCCACATCAGCACTGACTACATTAATCAAACTGAAAGAGCGCCACCTAGTGGAGGTTACGGTGTCTGACACTGAGAGCTCATACAGGCTTCATCTTCTCTATAGATGGACGAATGACACTGAACATAATTAATCTGCATTCATTAAATCTTCCACTAGAGGGCGACAGTATAATCTACATGCAATATGTCTTTAAGGGCCCTCAGTAAATTTACAAGACATCTCCAAGATTAAAATGACTTAAAATGAAAGGTTAAAACAACACAATATAATGAAAATGCTAAAAATGCAAGATATAGTGCAAAACATACAGAGGTGGAAAGTCCAGGAGCCAGAATGTAAAAGTCCTGCCATATTTCTATTCCACCCACAGCAAAACTGGATCCAGACTCAAGAGTGTTAAAGTTAATGAGATAATTAAGTGAATAATTGAGTGATGATTGAGATTTTATTGAAAACACCAGATGATAACTAGCAGAATCACTGAAGGAGAAAATCTATATTTATAGTCACCGTTATCGTGATCAGTGTTTGCTTTAGTTGGGCAGGTGACCTTTAAATGTTTAATTAAAGATTTTGATTGGCTGTTTTAATAGCTGGATGAACAAAGAGATCAGATCAGATGTTCAAGATCATGTTTAGACATAATCATCATTTGATCTGAATCACTTAACACATTTAAAGCCTACTCTCTGATTTAAATGTATAATGATCATAACAGCATCACAGTGATTATATAACATTAGATCCAGATTTTTCTAAATAAACCAAATGATATCTTAAATGTTGTTCTGATAAATAAAACTCTTTCTTTTAGGCACGCACAGACATCAAGATTCAGTGTATGAATCTCAACAATGGTGACAAACAGAATATTCAATTAGGGAAAGGAAATTACTAAGACAATTCAGATCATAATTTTTTCATACCCAGAATGCACTGCAACATGCTATATAATTGTCACCATTGTTGAGAATCACAGGCTGATTCTTGATTTCTGTGTGTGCCCGTAAAGTATTTAGAATAGAACAGCGTTTAAAAAAATATTTTGGATTATATTTACATTTCTGAAAATGTTTTACTGTGTAATCAATATTGTAAACAAAATGAAATATTTCAGTTGGTGTGCAATGAATCTAAAATATATGAAAGTTTAATTTTTATCATTACATTATGGAAAATAATGAGCTTAATCACAATATGCTAATTTTTTTATAAGGAGCTGTATAATACCAAACCCATCCTTGATTCCCAAGCTTTTTTTGTTGTCACCATTGATGTGACTATCAGTGGTTGGAGAGAGGTGTGTTGAGGAGACCTGAAGACCCTGTCCAGCAGCAATCAATCTGGAGTCAGTGCCTGCACTGCCACTGAAGCTCAGGAAGGTTGAGCCCAGTCTTCATATGGATAAGGATCTCCTGGAGGCTGGGCAGCTGCTGGAAGAGGTGTTAGAGAGGCCAGCAGGTCTGATCAACCTGAGGCCTGAGTCGGACCTAATGTCCCTAACAGTTGCCATAAGCTGTTCTGATAAAAGGGAAACCCTGGTGTAAAATAGGTCTCAGAGAACACATTGCCAATGCCCCAGTGCAGTTGCCATAAGCTATACTAAATAAAGGGTGTAACCCTGGGGCAAAAAAAAAATATATATCCCTGGCATCACATTCAGTTTTTGTTTAGTTTTTACAACTTTCGTGCAAGCAAGAAAAAGAAAAAAAAAATGCCATGAATGAAGTCTTTCAAAATAATTTGATCAAATATACAGAAAAAAAGCATTTATTTTAAATATTTTTTAAAAGACTCCTACATCACTCAGATGTCAAATTCTGGTTACACGCAAAAATTGGGTTAACGTCAACATTTGTTTGACGTCATGTTCCAACGTCATTAAACACACCACAAACAGCATTACCAGCTTCACTTATTACAAACCAGACTGACTTTATATCTGTCATGCCTACAAAAGTTCTTATTGAGAATTAACAGAGGCTTAGACGTTGATGTTTTATTAAAAATAATAGTGTGGTTTGATGTCACCATCATGGTGATCAGTATGTGCTTTAGTCGGGCAGTTTGACAATGTTGGCCACTGTCAGAGTAGGAGACCTGCATCTACAGTCCCCCTGCACCCAGAGTCCCGCATTCTCAGACCCCTCGTTTTTCGAGACAGCGCCTCCTATCAAATTGTATCGGATAAACATGTGAAGAACATGTGAAGAACTTAAGCCAGAACGTGAGTAGGCTATCTTCAATTTTATTTATCGTAGTAGCCTACTCTTCTTTGATTTATTTTTTAATAAAACTAATTTAGCTCATCGATACAACATACGAATAGTCCATTTAATATTTGTAAAGATAGTTTGTAACAAGATTTGACTTTGATTGTAACTTGATTTTGCCGTTAATGTATGTTTTTTCGCCCTCTTCCACTGAAAATATTTTGATAACGTTAGCCTTTAACCTTGGACTTTTTGTAGATATGTCATAAATGCTGCAGTTATTTTCACTGCCCATTTTGTGCCCCCATATATATTTCAAACCCACAAAGTTGTCCAAAGTTCAAAAACATCTCAAGAGACAACAGAGCAGTGCAACATGAAGGTAACAATTTGCAAACATATTTTTTCCAATTTTTTTTTCTAATTTTTAAACATCATATGACATGTGCTATCGGTCCTATGTTGTAGGCTATTCCAGGGTACACCATACATCGATGGAGTTGCCCCTGCCGAACCCAGCAACATATCATTTTATGATTATGCAAAGCGACTTTTAAATGAGTTTTTTTAAAGCAATTGAAGGCGAAAAGTAAAGTCACGAACAGTTTTTTCTCTGTTTTTCTTTACAGCAAGATGATGTTTAGGTGGTCATTAAATAAAGTACAAGATTGTTTATTATTGGTGTTTTGTCTATTCTGATTTGTTTTGCTTCGCATTCAAAATATTAAAAAACAAATTTTGTAATGTTAGCATGGTAATGTTAATTTAATGTTTTTTACAATGAAGGCATTTTATCATGATAACCCAGGTGAAAAAGACGTTGTATTAAATGTATTAAAAATATATTTGAAATACAAATAGTGTGTTTATAATACATTTGTATTTACAACATGCTTATTTAAAGTGTACTAAAAATGTATTTTATTGCATTTTAGTATATTTCTAAAAAGTATACTAGAAGTACATTGGTAATAAATATATATTTAATTACACTTTTAAGAAATATACTATAGAAAAGCATACTTTTAATGTATTTATAAAAAGTATATTAGTAATATATTGGTAATAAATGTATGCTTTATTATATTTTTAATAAATATGCTAATGATAATTATACTTTAAATGTATTTCTAAAAAGTATATTAGAACTACATTGGTAATAAATATATGTTTAAATACACTTTTAAGAAATACACTATAGAAAAGCATACTTTTAATGTATTTCTAAAAAAGTATATTATTAGTACATTGGTAATAAATGTATGCTTAATTATATTTTTAATAAATATGCTAATGACAATCATGCTTTAAATATGTTTCTAAAAAGTGTACTAGAAGTACATTGGTATTTAATTACATTTTTAAGAAATATGCTAAATACAAACATATTTTAATTGTATTTAAAAATGTTTTACTAGAAACGCAATGCTAATAAATATACACTTAATTACACTTTTAGAAATATGCTAAAAACAAACATAGTTTTAGTGAAATTTTAGTGTATTTACAGAAAGCATACTTGTTGCTAAATTAAAGTAATTTTTGTGTTTACTTTGTGTGTATAGCAATTTGTAACCTTATAACTTATTTAACCTTGTATAGGACTAGAGCAATATATTTTTAATATTTATGTTATACTGTAGCATGTGCTTCAGCCCTGCTTTAAAAAAATATTGTGAAAAACAAATGAGACATATATATATATATATATATATATATATATATATATATATATAAATAACGTTATATATATATCTATATATATATATATTTATAAAGTTTAAAAATTACAAGTAATGCACTTCTATACTTCTGCATTAATTAATCAAATAGTCTTTTCCACAAAACTGAATACCAGTACTTGCACACATCAACATAAAAGATCAGGTGTACATACTAGAAAAACAAAATAAATTTGTTAAAGCTTGACTCTTACATTTGTTTAGCCAAAATGAATAAAAAACCTGTTTATAAAGCATGTTATGTTTATATTAACAGAGTTGTTTCTTTTTTTGTGGCCATTAGTTAGTTAGTATTTCCAGCTGCATTCATTTGGACCAATCAGAGCCAATCTTTTCAAAACAAGCTTGCCGGCAATTGTCCAATCACACACTGCTATTTGAACTTACATGTTGGGCGGGGCGCGGACAGCGGATACTGACTGTCTGTGGTATTCCATTAGCTTCGGATATTTCAACAGAAATCATGTATTTTCCAAATTTTGCTTTTTTATTTCACTGACTCGGACCTAGTGAATGTGGATAGCACCGATCTAATATTAAGAGAACACACGAGCAGATTACCAGGTCGTCAGCTCCCGCGAACAATTTAGCAGTGAAGAGGACAACGCAGAGCTGCGCCGCCACGACATGGACAGAGCAAGATACTGCCAGAAAAGATCTTACTTCTTGGTGGTAAGTTTATTAGTTTAAGTGATTAGTATAATTGGCTTTATTCTCACTTTGGGTTTAGAAAATATTTTCAGAAGTTGATGTCGATGTTCTGTGGATTACTGCGTTTCTGTTGATTTGACACTAAAGCGAGTTATCGTCTATCCATTGACGTCTATCAACTTAATGTTATAGATCTAGACAGTGACATAAAACAACTATAAAAACATTGCACACTGTGTTTGCAGAAAAAAAGGTTATTTAGGTGATTACACAACAGGCTTGATTGTCCCTAAGTAACGTCTTGTGTTTTAAATATTATAATATATTTAAAGCTCTAATAAAACTTACACATTTGTGATATTTAATTCATAGTAAAATCTAATTCATTATTAGTAGGCTGTCAGTTTTCATGTCAATTCGATAAATAAATTAAGTTGTAATCACCAACTATAAGCTTTCACAAAACCAATTATTAAATATCTTGCACTGAGAAATTAAAACGATGTTAAATAATGAAATGAGAGATTTTATATTTAATATTTAGCCTAGCCAAGGAATTTGCACATTGCAAAGACATTTTTTTATTAAACCTGTGAGTAGATGAGGAGTAAGTAGTAGTTGATCCTCTTGATTTGTAACTTTTTGTTGGTGAAAAACAACAAAAACAGTCAATATAGTGTGTCATGTAGCAGCTAGTTAAGTGACCTATTATATATTAACACGTATTTGAAAAATTGCGTCCCCCGCATGAATATGTATTTTGCCTGATTATGCATTGAATTATGCAATCGCATAATCGTGTTTTTCTCGAGGGACTGATTTATATGATTTTATGTGTGGTATTCAGCTTTTTTACATTTAATCAAGTCGTTATCAGCTGTCACCAACTTGTAACTTTCAATAGAATGTTCTGTCTTTATTAATAATGAATAATTACTTTAATAATAGCGTGGAAGTTACAGTAATGGTTCGTTAAATCATTTAAACAAAATACAAATTATATATGAAGAACACAAACTAGTGTTTGTTCTGCCCTAACTTTGTATAACATGCAACTTTATTTTTTTCTTGTAGAGCTTCCAGGGATATTAGCATCTCCCAAAGAGGCCCTGGAGTCCATGAAACGAGGTTCATTCAGCTCAAGCCCAAGATCATCTGAGCTGTCTTCCTGAAACCTCAGAAATGGTTAGAAAATTCTTTATGATAAAGAAAAATCCTATTTGTTATAATAATTATATCTGACTTTTTGTGCACTAATACTTCAGTAAGTGTTCTGAATTAAGTAACAAAGTGACAGCTTTTTATTAGAATTATAAATGAACAAGTTTATACTAATGCTTGTTTTATTTATTCTTTCCAGATTTCTCTCGGTGGTTCTGATGTCCCCAAAAGAGTCTATGGCAGACTGAACAAGTCACGAACTTCTCTTTTTACTCACGACTTGGCCACTTTACTTTTTGCTATTGCATTTCACTTTGTTTGACTTAAAGGATTAGTTCACTTAAAAAAAAAAAAAACTTTTGCTGATAATTTACTCACCCCCATGCCAAGATATCCAGGTCATTCTTTCTTCAGTTGAAAAGAAATTAAGGTTTTTGATGAAAACATTCCAGGATTTTCTCCATATAATGGACTTCATTGGGAACCAAACGGTTCAAGGTCCAAAAGACAGTTTCTGTGCAAACTGTTCAAAAGGCTTTAAACGATTCCAGACGATGAACAAGGGTCTTATCAAGCGAAACGATCGGTTATTTAAAAAAAAAAAAACAACGTTTAAGTTTTATAAGCTCAAATGGTCGCCTTGCTCTGTTCTGTTATGCATGTTCATGACTCTCCTATTCGAACTCGTTCATCAAAATTAACAAATCTTTTTCCGAGTCATTAGGTTCATTCAACGAACGAAATGAATGAATTGACTCGAAAAAAGATTTGTCAGGGCTGCCAACTCTCAAGCATTCAGCACGAGACTCTCGCAATTGAGCCAATTCTCATGCTTTCATGACAAATTGACTGTTAGCCATTGGACCTTGAACCGTTTGGTTCCCAGTGAAGTCCATTATATGGAGAAAATCCTGGAATGTTTTCATCAAAAACCTTAATTTCTTTTCGACTGAAGAAAGAAAGACATGGACATCTTGGAAGACATGGGGGTGAGTAAATTATCAGCAAAAGTTTTTTTTTTAAAAGTGAACTACTCCTTTCAGTTAGTTTATTTATTTATTGTTCTGTTTAATACCTCTGCAAATCAATGCATTTTATGTTAATGTATTTTATTGAGTTTTCATAATGCTTTACTGATGTAGTGCATTAAAGTTTATCTTTCAAAAAGTGTTTGTGTGTTTTGTAGAAATATTTGTTTTGTTGAATTAAAATGTTTAACTGTATTTTTAATACATTAAAATATATTATTTTTATATTAAATGGTTTTTGGAAAAAATATATTTTTAATATGTTAATAGTGGGTCCTACAGTGTTCTACTAATACATTATTAATAAGCTGAAATTATATTTAAAATATACTTAGAACGCATTAATGTGAAGCTAAAAATATACTAATGCTGTATTTCTAAAGTCGATTTAAAGTGTATTAAAATACACTTTAAATAAGTGCTATTATATTACATTAAATGTACTTAAAATGGTTCCATTTTAGCACATTTTAGTATAATAAAATATATTACTATTACCTTAAAATTGAACTTAAATACATATTAAAATACACTTAATATACTTGAAGTTGTTTCAATTTAGCACATTTAATACATATTTAATACGGTACATTTAAAATACATTAAGTATATCAAAATAAGTACAATTTAAATATATTTCCTTTTCACCTGGGAATGCAGGAAATACCTCTGAAATAACAGTTTTATTGGTTTATTTATTATTTTTTTTACAATGAAGGTATTTGATCATTATAATGCAGGAAATACCTTTAAATAACAGTGTTTTTCAGATTATTTAATTAAGACGTTTTACTTTAATTTTAATTTACTGTATTTTATTTTTATCATCATTTTTATTTTTCCTTATTTTTTATTCTAAACTGTTTTAATTATTCTGATTTCTTTTGATTATTTTAATTTCTTCTATGTAAAGCACTTTGAATTGCCATTGTGTATGAAATGTGCTATATAAATAAACTTGCCTTGCCTTGCCTTGCCTTTAACGATACCTAAAATATCAGCTGCATTTTTATTTTGTAGATATTATTTGTAATTTTACAGTGTTTTGAGTACAATTTAAAATTAAAGAAAATGATCGTCAAAAATCTCAGTAATTTTCTGTGAAATTAGGATTTTTTTTACAGTGTGAATGCATCAGTTCATCTGCTGTCATGACATAATAGACAGTAGTGTATTCACTGTAATCCTGAGAGTCACCAGTGGCTTTCAGATAGAAATGAGAGGGGCTTGTGGGTAATTCTTTACTCTCCTTGTAATCACAACCAGCGCAGGAAACCTGAGTGAAGACAACACATTTATGTTATTAGGGACACCATATTTAAAGGGAGTACTAGTATTTACAGTTACACTCGTAAATACCCAGACCGTTCTCATCGTCATATGCTAACGCTTTTGACATTTCCTCTAAATCCAACGCACATGGCACCCTTTAACGTTACTATGAATCGCAGATATATATGGGCCCAAAGGCGCCTCCTAGTGGTCTAACCCTAACTCAGACCTAAACCTACCCATAACAGAAGCGTGTTATATTGATGCTAAAGGGTGCCATGTGCGTTGGATTTAGACAAAATTTCAAAAGCGTCTCTAAATGACACCTTAGGACGAGAATGCATTGGAATACCACTCACACAGATCTTGATGTGTTACATAGTATACAATAGTAGGCTACATTGTGTTTGTTTGTCGTTTAAAGAGATCTAATATATGTTGTTAGTGGTGAGAATTTTCATGTGATTAAATACATAGATCCAACAATTATCACCATGAACTTTAATGGTCCAGTGGCAGAAGTTTTGCCAAGTGTATAAGAGGTTCTGGGTTCTACCAAAGTTGCAAGTGAGATTTTTTCACTCGGGACGGCCACCATTCAACCCGAAAGAAGTCATATAACCATTTCAATTACTCTGAAGCTGTTAAGTTAAAGTTGTGCCCCTTTAATAATAATTTAAATATTGGATACTATCCTCAGTCTTTAAATCATCACATATTATTGTTGATCAACAATATTGTGTCTCCAATCACAGTAATTCTACAAACCTCTTCATTGTTTCCTGGTGTGACTTGAGATCTTTTGGATGACGAGCCTGTCGAAGAAAAGAAAACTGATCTGTCTGCTAAATCTTTTTCACATTCTCATACTTCTCTATTTTATCTTAAGTTGTAGGAAGTTGGAGTTATTTTATGAACAAAAAGGGGAAATAAAGTCATTTTAAAGGTGCATTGCGCAACATTTCATGTTAAAAATACTAACCCATACATGCTTAAAGAGATTTTCCAATTTATTTTTTGGAAATAGCCTCATTTTACAACTCCCCCAGAGTTAAATAGTTGAGTTTTACCGTTTTCAAATCCATTCAGCCGATTTTCTGATATTTAGAAGAATACTAAATATGCATTAATTCATGTTTAACGAATGCACAGATAATCATGAGTTAATGTATAACTCATGAAGAACTAAACCATTAATTGATGATTACTGCATCAGCAACTAATAAAGAGTCAATATGATTAATAGATTAAGTAATACATGAATTACTATTAATTCAATGTGTCATTGTGTATTAATTCCTTAATAACATACTTTATTAACTAATAGTGTAAATTAATGTGTTAATTACCACAATTAGTCAAAGCTATGCACTTCAACTTCCAGTCGTCTGCTTTAATTAATCATTAGCTAATGATTTGCAAAGGTATCATTATGTTATGACTTTACTTGATGGGGCACATCATTATTAACTAGTCATTTTGTAGTAATTTGCAGTAACAATGAAGTAATTAATCATGTATTAATACATATAAGTGTACCTGTCATATTATCTGGAAGTTGAAATACAAGGCTTTGGCTCATTCTGGTAATTAACATATTAATTAACACTATTAGTTAAAAAATGAGTTATTATGGAATTAATCCACAATTACATATTAAATTAATAACAATTCATGTATGAACTAATACATTAACCTTACAGACTCTTAATTGGTTCCTAATGTGGTAATCATTAATGAATAGCTTAGATAGTCATTAGTTACACATTAATTCAGTATTGTCTGTGTATTAGTTAAGCATGAATTAATGCTTATTAGTGCACCCGTATTGTAAAGTGTTACCAGAATATCAGTAACCACAGATTCATGAAGTCAATGAGACCAGAAACTGTCTGGAATGGATTTGAAAACAGTAAAACTCAACTGTTTAACTCTGGGGGAGTTGTAAAATGAGCCTATTTCCAAAAAAAAGTGGAGTATCCCTTTAAGCAATTGCCTACTTGCGCTATGCACCTTTAAAGAGAGTAAAGATGGAGGATTGAGTTTTACTGTGAGAGCGACGCCTCCTGCAGAGAGTCACGGTCCCCAACACGAGTCCAGCGATGATCAGAAGCAGAAACACACACACACTGACCGTCAGAGGAGAGCCTGAAAACACCAGAGAGTCCCCATCTCATCCACAGACAAATGAGTGTGTTTGTGTGTTCAGAGTGTGTTTGTACCTGTCGCAGGAGACGCAGATGTGATCGCTGGAGCTGTATATGATGATGTTGTTCTGTGAGGGTTTGTCTCTAAAACACAGAAGAGTCAGTGTCACTTGTAATGTGTGACAGAAGCTGATGTCTTTCACACATTATTCCTCCATCAGACATGTTTCACACACTAAACCACAAAGAGCCGTCTTCTGAGCGTCTGGAGGCTGTCTGCAGGATTGAAAGTGTTGCTGATGTGACGATCTCTTCGCTCAGTACTTTAGCACATGCATGCGGTGGTTAACTAACGGTAATCTGCAAGACGTTTGAGTTAAATTCACCTTTTAAGAAACATTATTTATTTTAGTGGACTCAAATTTAAAATATGTGTGCAGTAACTGTATAAATATTATAGGCCAATTTATCGGTTTCCTCAAATTTAACACAGTTTTTAATTTAGTGCAGGCTATTATTACATTGACACTGTAAAGTTTAAAGTTTACAAATTACGGTAAAGAACTGTTTCACGGCTGCTGTTGTTTTGTATAATTGTAGTTGATGATTTACAGGCTTTCTGGCAACCAAAACTGCCAATAATTTGCTGTAATTTTTTTAAAGCACGTTTTTTACAGTGTGTGAATACAAATCCAACAAATTATGGCAATTAATTACATTATGAATGAATATAATAAATTGTGATTGTGTTCATTTAAATATTACAGCATTTGATTAGCAAATTTGCAGAACAGTCAGAATAAACGTTTCAATAATAAACCTGACAATATATATTATTACTGAAACATTGATTAATAAATCTCACGGTTCGGTCCAGTAGAGAATAAAGTTGAAGTGAGGATGAACGTGCAAGCAGTTTTTACGTATAACACAATGATTACCTCAAACAAGCTATAAGGAACAAACTACGGGAATGAACGAAAACAAATCAAATAAAATAAGGAACAAATTGAATAATAGAAACTAATAGTGCATGGGAAATTTAAATTGGCATTCAATTAACTTTGTAATGATATATATCTCATCAAAACATAAAGGTTATTTATTGTCATTTATGGTTCCATAAAGAACCTTCAACATTGTGGGGAAATAAAAAAACTTTTATTTTGAAGAGATTGGTTATTGATTTGATCTATTAGCCTCTAGACTCTAGAGGTAGGGGAGCGCGGGGTTAAATGTAACACAGACTTTTTACATAGTTCGTCAGGATCAAGCCGGCCGTATTTCCGCTCTTTTTCTCTTGCTGCCAGAAGACGGTCTCCCGCAAATTTACGGAAAGTTTTGATAATATTTCGTGAAGATACTGGACGAATAGTGTTTTGACAACATAAAAGTAACATTTTTCATCATATATTTTTTTCGGTTTCTGAGTTGGGTGTATACGTTTCCAAATCTAACTTTATATTGCCTTAATCACTGTCTTGTTGGCTCAAACATAGCACCGTTTTGAAACATGTCAGCAATTCCTATAACGACTGTTAGCTAGGCTTAAAATATGTAATACACAGCGGGGTTAGTGGTAACACAGTGTTACAAACAAGCCGCCAAGTGTACAATGATAATCAAATGAAAACGGAGCCACACAACTTTTCAGGTTTGAGTATTATTTATAAATTAAAAACTTTGTTGGACTTTTACAAACAATGCTGGAATTTAAAATGTTTAAAATGTAGTGTACTATGAATGATAACTTGTTTATTTATTAAAAATATGGCCTGTTTTTAATGCAATAAACCCTTAAAATTTTTATTTTAAGCTCATTTGTATTATTATGACTGTTATTATTATTAATAATAATAATAATTGTACATGCAGCGGCCACACACAAATCTAATTTAATTGCAATTACAATATTTATATTTATTTATTATTATTTATTGCAAAACTGTGCAGCTCTTTTCTATGTCTCTATCCATGATATTGATCCACAATAGAAGGATGATTGGATGAGGGATGGATGTATGGATATCTGTCTATACAGATGCACAAACAATATCAAACTATTCAAATAAAATAGTCCTGAATTATGTGTGTTACACACAAGTGTTACAACTAACCCCTCTGTCTACAGTATTATAATTAACCCCGCATATGGGGTAAGTTGTAACATTTGCACTTCTGTCACTTTCAGTCCAACTGTACGAAAATGGTAGGTTCTAGAAAAAAACTTTTAGTGTTCATTTGTAGCAGAGATGTGTATGTTGCTTGTGTAAAAAAATAGTAATCTAACCTAATTATTTTTTTTAATTAATTGAGCCAAAACCAAAATGCGTTAGGTTGTGCCCCGCTCTCCCCTATTCATTATTATTACCAGAGGTGGAAAGTAACTAATTACAAATATGTTTGTTACAGTACTCGATTTTTCTACTTTATAATTGAAAAGTGGTACTTTTACATTACATTTCTTCATTTAGCTGATGCTTTTATCCAAAGCGACCTACAATTGCTGTATATGTCAGAGGTGGCATGCCTCTGGAGCAACTAGGGGTTAAGTATCTTGCTCAGGGACACATTGGTGTCTCACAGTGGATTCAAACCCGGGTCTCTCACACCAAAGGCATGTGTCTTATCCACTGCGCCATCACCATCACCACCATCACCTTTTAATCTTACTTGACTAGAACAAAAATAAAGTATTCAACTTCGCTGAATTTATTTTTCCCCAAGTATATGGCACTACTTTGACAGCGGTGCCGACGGAGCAACAGGGCAATCTCTCTTTTTAATGGTTCCTCTTTCTTAACCTTCTTTGCTTTCAATTTTGAAATGATTCAAATTAAACATTCAAATGATCTTTCTTGGACTTACTTTTCAAAATCACAATACACAATACATTGGTTTCATTTTGCTTCTTAACACAGAGTGGGTCAGAGTTATTTTTATTAAATAATATGATACAAGCTATGTTGATTCGCATTGCATTAGTGTTGAGTGTAGTGCTCCATATCACCATCATCTTCCCATTTTGGGTAAAAATAGAAAAATAATAATAAAGTACTTTGTAACTTAGTTACTTTTTAAGCAAACTACTTATTTACTCGTACTTGAGTCATATTATTTTTCAGAACTTCTACTTGTTGTCCAGTAAATTAATACTTTTACTTAAGTACAATTTGTTAGTACTGTTTCCAGCACTGATTATGACTGTCATCATGTGTGTTGTGGAGATCTTCATGAGTTTGAGGATCTCAGTTTCTCACCTGTTAAAACCTTCAGATTCACTTCAGTGTAGAAATCTTTTCCTTTAGTTAAATCAACTCCACACTGGTACGTCCCAGAATCCTCTTCTGTCAGATTTCTGAGGGTCACAGTGAAGACTGCTGAACTTGTGTCGTCATACAGAGAGAATCTTCCATTATAAAACCATTTATCTGTTTCATTAGTCCGGATGAGGTCAGAACACCATTTAGACTTTGGGTTTTTTGGCATCTTTCCTCTACAAAAATACTTTTTATTCTCTGTATATGCTTTATTATATTTGCATGTGATGTTGACTCCTCCTCCTGAATATCCGATCACACTCATGGAGCTCAAGACACCTACAACAAACCAGCATTAAATTCAATTAGGCCACTGCTTCTTTCACAAATTCCACAACATGAACTGAAGTAAAAGATCAAATCTGTGGTGTTTTCCATGATGTACTCTGAGTTCAGACTCTTACCAGGAATCATCATCAGAGTGAAAGTCCAGATGATCTTCATTCTTCTCTTATTAAATGATCTTCTCAGTTGTTAGTAGATTCAGTTCTTCTGAAGCTCTCGGCGTGTGTTCAGATGAGTTTTGAGTGTTTCTTTCCTGGTTACATGTTTAACATGAAGAGCTGAATGTGTCAGAGACGCCCACTTCCTCAGAGAGAGAGAGAGAGAGAGAGAGAGAGAGAGAGAGATTAATAAAGCGGGAAGTGAAACGAATGCTTCACATGTGCTTCAGTTGACAGTGACATCTGATGGAAACATTCACAACAGCAGCGGCTCACATTGCAACTATTAGTGCAGGTTTCTTATTGATCAACAGAATTAAGGCACATATGACTGGCAGAATAGAAAACAGGAAGTACAACAAAGTCCAGGGACAAAAACAGAAAACACAAAGAGCCCCCCAAAACAACAGAAGTCCAGGAGGTGGTGAATCGGGGATGGACGCAGGGCCAGGCTTGTGTATGTCCATGGCGGCCCGAGCTTGAGGATCATAGCACCCCCGTATACAGTTTTGACTTCTCAAGTTGTAAAATTTAACTTGCATATAATGTGTGCTGGTCAACTAGTCTAAAATTAAGAAACCCTAGAAAACAACAGCAATAGATGTACATATAAGATAAAGGTACTAAATTTATTATTTCATGGCAATATCCAAACATGATACTAAATCCCACAAAAAAGGGCTTTAATTGGTGACGTGCTGTCTTTGCTTTTGAACGTTGTACATTTTAAACAGAACACGCATTAGCTGAATAAACGTTAGCCAATATATACTTATAGAAAACAGTTGACAATTAATAGACATGAGTCCTGTCACAGGACCAATAATAGCAATAGTAGAACCAATCACTTATTCTAAAAAGTTTGGACGAATCCGACATGGGACTGTGTTACTACTAAAACGCCCATCATTTAACACATTTTAAAAACATGGATGGATAACACAAAAATGATTTCAGACATTTTGACAGAAAAACAAAACAAAATTTAAACCAAAATTTAAATCCATTTTGGTTTTACAATTATCTTCTTTCTGTGTGCGAGCGTAGTGCTTGAGCTCGTCCAGTTCTGATAAAATGGTACTTTTTTAATCCACAAGTAACTAATGCGCTAGTTTATAACGTTACAAAATAAATATGTAACATGTAGGCTATATTTCTACGTTTAACATATGTGTCAGCCTAGACATAGATGTGACTGTTCTGAATGTAAAATATTGTGTTTGTGATATTATGTGTGTGATCATTATCATCAGACAACAAATGAAGATGTACATTCATGTTCAAATGTTACAAGCAAGCATATCTTTGATGTTGTTAGTAAAAATCTAAATAGTGTATGTTCAGAAAATGCTCTTTAACCCATGTATTTTTTTTTTTTACTTCTAAAGAGACTTGCTTGTAAATGTCTTTGTGTTTGCAGAGTGGTTTAAAACTGTGGTCAAGATCATCAACATGAGATGTTCTTCAGCTTGTGGTTTTGCTCTGTTTATCGGTCAAACCCAGAAGCCCTTCAGCCTATATATGATAAGAACAGGATGTTTATCTCAGTATCGATGGACAAAGACTTTCCACTGCTTAAAACATAATGTAAATTTGTTTAGTATATATATATATATATATATTCTTAAAAATATTTCTAATATATTACAGCTCTCCCTTCAAAAGTTTTTAATCAGGTCATCTGAAATATTTGCTAGGAAAGTGGAAGTGCATCTCAAAACTCTTTTTGCTAAAAAAAGTTCACAAGTTCATTCATAAATGTGCATTATAAAAGATCTGCTTGCTTTCCAAATGTTAAAAAGTCAAATGTCCTGTTCACACCATGAACGATATTTGTGTCCACACCAATGGATGATTCTGTTTATTACAAGTGCGCTGCAGTTTTGTCACCTGCCACTTTAATTTTTGAACTCATTGTTTTGATTTAGTTTGATCTGGAAATTAAATTGTCAAATCACACAGATAATTTGTTGAAAACAGATTCATCAGTCTTTTTCTGAATTCACAACTCAGTAAATGTTGAAGGTGAATTACTGAAGGATCATCTGTTAGTCTCTATTGTGTTCTGTTCATCTTCTGTCTCTGTGTTCAGTCTCGTGTGTCTCTCTGTGGGTTTCCTGAGTAAGTGTGTTTAATTAAACTGAACTGAGACCCTGAACCTTCACATGTTTTCTGTGGCTTTGAGCTGGATGGAAAAAAACCTGTCGGTTCATCACACAAACACACAAACACCTCCAGCGCTGAGAAGATCAAACGAAATACTCTTTAATCCAAAAGTCCAGCGAATACAGAATAACTGAGAACTAATGAGATCATGAACAGGTGGACAGAATCATCAATTAGACACACAGGGAAATCTACATCTGATAAATATAATCTGTTTACGCAGTACGTACAGTATCTCACATAGTGCTCAGACCCTTTTAAATCAATCCATATGTTCACTGTAAATGCATCAGTGATGTTTGACAACAGCGTATTCACTGTAATCCTGATTATTCCTGATATTGACACTGTCAGGACAGTCAGATTTATTATGGAAATTCACCACTGCGTAATTCAGATCCTCAGCAGAGGCTTTCTCAGAGGAATCAGAGGGGCTTGTGGGTAATTCTTTACTCTCCTTGTAATCACAGCCAGTGTGGGAAACCTGAGGGAAGACAACACATTCATGTATTTAATAACAATTTGAATATTGAATATAGTTCTGGATATCCTCAGTTTTTAAATAATCAGGTCTCGTTATTGATCAAAACTATTGTGTCTCCAATCTACAAACCTCTTCATTGTTTCCTGGTGTGACTTGAGATCTTTTGGACGACGATGACGAATCTGTTGAAGACGAGAAAACTGATCTGTCTGCTAAATCTCTTTCACATTCTCATACTTCTCTATTTTATCTTTAGTTGTAGGAAGTTGGAGTTATTTTATGAACAAAAAGGGGAAATTGTCATTTTAAAGGTGCATTGCGCAACATTTCATGTTAAAAATACCTTTTTTTTGTAACCCATACATGCTTAAAGGGATTTTCCACTTTATTTTTTGGAAATAGCCTCATTTTACAACTCCCCCAGAGTTAAATAGTTGAGTTTTACCGTTTTCAAATCCACTCGGCCGATTTTCTGATATTTAGAAGAATACTAAATATGCATTAATTCATGTTTAATGAATGCACAGATAATCATGAGTTAATGTATAACTCATGAAGAACTAAACCATTAATTAATGATTACTGCATCAGCAACTAATAAAGAGTCTATATGATTAATAGATTAAGTAATACATGAATTACTATTAATTCAATGTGTCATTGTGTATTAATTCCTTAATAACATACTTTATTAACTAATAGTGTAAGTTAATGTGTTAATTACCACAATTAGTCAAAGCTATGCACGTCAACTTCCAGTCGTCTGCTTTAATTAATCATTAGCTAATGATTTGCAAAGGTATCATTATGTTATGACTTTACTTGATGGGGCACATCATTATTAACTAGTCATTTTGTAGTACTTTGCACTAACTATAAAGTAATTAATCATGTATTAATGCATATTAGTGTACCCATCATATTATCTGGAAGTTGAAATACAAGGCATTGGCTCATTCTGGTAATTAACATATTAATTAACACTATTAGTTAAAAAATGAGTTATTATGGAATTAATACACAATTACATATTTAATTAATAACAATTCATGTATGAACTAATACATTAACCTTACAGACTCTTAATGTGGTAATCATTAATGAATAGCTTAGATAGTCATTAGTTACACATTAATTCAGTATTGTTTGTGTATTAGTTAAGCATGAATTAATGCTTATTAGTGCACCCATATTGTAAAGTGTTACCAGAATATCAGTAACCACAGTTTCATGAAGTCAATGAGACCAGAAACTGTCTGGAATGGATTTGAAAACAGTAAAACCCAACCGTTTAACTCTGGGGGAGTTGTAAAATGAGCCTATTTCCCAAAAAAAAGTGGAGTATCCCTTTAAGCAATTGCCTACTTGCGCTATGCACCTTTAAAGAGAGTAAAGATGGAGGACTGAGTTTTACTGTGAGAGCGACGCCTCCTGCAGAGAGTCACGGTCCCCAACACGAGTCCAGCGATGATCAGAAGCAGAAACACACACACACTGACCGTCAGAGGAGAGCCTGAAAACACCAGAGAGTCCCCATCTCATCCACAGACAAATGAGTGTGTTTGTGTGTTCAGAGTGTGTTTGTACCTGTCGCAGGAGACGCAGATGTGATCGCTGGAGCTGTATATGATGATGTTGTTCTGTGAGGGTTTGTCTCTAAAACACAGAAGAGTCAGTGTCACTTGTAATGTGTGACAGAAGCTGATGTCTTTCACACATTAATCCTCCATCAGACATGTTTCACACACTAAACCACAAAGAGCCGTCTTCTGAGCGTCTGGAGGCTGTCTGCAGGATTGAAAGTGTTGCTGATGTGACGATCTCTTCGCTCAGTACTTTAGCACATGCATGCGGTGGTTAACTAACGGTAATCTGCAAGACGTTTGAGTTAAATTCACCTTTTAAGAAACATTATTTATTTTAGTGGACTCAAATTTAAAATATGTGTGCAGTAACTGTATAAATATTTGAAGGCCAATTTATGCCACTTGGTTTCAATGAATTAACACAGTTTTTAATTTAGTACAGGGTATTATTACAGAAACACTGTAAAGTATATTACAGTAAAGAACTGTTTCACGGCTGCTCTTGTTTTGCCGTTTATACAGTATAATTGTAGTTGATGATTTACAGGCTTTCTGGCAACCAAAACTGCCAATAATTCGCTGTAAAAAATTAAGCATATATTTTTTACAGTGTGTAAATAAAAATCCAGCAAATGATGGCAATAAATTACATTATGAATTTAATAATAAATAATAAATATTACAATAAGCATTTGATTAGCAAATTTGCAGAACCGACAGTCAGAACAAACTGTTTAATTATAAACCTGACTATTTATAATATTACTGAAACAACTATGAAAACATCAGCAAAACAATGATTAATAAATCTCACGGTTCGGGCCAGTAGAGAATAAAGTTGAAGTGAGGATGAACGTGCAAGCAGTTTTTATAACACAATGATTCCCTCAAACAAGCTATAAGGAACAAACTACGGGCTATATATCACACACAATGAACTAAGACTGAAACCGATGTGGGAATAATCAAAAACCAGGGAAACCAAGGAAAACAGAACATAAGCACAGGAAATAAAATAAGGAACAAATTGAAATTAATAGTGCATGGGAAATTTAAATTGGCATTCAATTAACTTTATAATGATATAGATCTCATCAAAAAAAATAAAGGTTATTTATTGTTATTTATGGTTCCATAAAGATCCTGAGGAAAAAAAAACTTTTATTTTGAAGAGTTTGGTTATTAATTTGATCTGGTCTATTAGCGTTGGTATTCATTTTTTTTTTTTTTTTTTTTTTTTTTTTAAACCAGAGGTGGAAAGTAACTAATTACAAATACTTTCATTACAGTACTCGATTTTTTCTACTTTCTTGAGTATAATTGAAATGTGGTACTTTTACTCTTTGACTAGAATAAAAAATTCACTACATTTATTTTTCCCCAAGTATATGGCACTACTTTGACAGCGGTGCCGACGGAGCAACAGGGCAATATCTCTTTTATATGGGTCCTCTTTCTTAACCTTCTTTGCTTTCAATTTTAAAATTATTCAAATTAAACATTCAAATGATCTTTCTTGGACTTACTTTTCAAAATCACAATACACAATACATTGGTTTCATTTTGCTTCTTAACACAGAGTGGGAATGTATTATTTTATTAAATTCTATGATACAAGCTATGTTGATTCACATTGCATTGCATCTTCCCATTTTGGGTAAAAATAGAAAATATTAACAAAGTACTTCATAGTTACTTGAGTACTTTTTAAGCAAACTAATAAAGTACTTTTTTTATTATTTTTCAATTTTTACTCTTTCTTTTTACTCTTTCTATTTTCTATTTCTACTCTTTCTATTTACTCTTATCTGAGTCATATTTTTCAGTACTTCTGCTTGTACTTAAATAAATTATTTAAGTAGCAATACTTTTACTTAAGTACAATTTGTTAGAACTCTTTCCAGCACTGATTATGACTGTCATCATGTGTGTTGTGGAGATCTTCATGAGTTTGAGGATCTCAGTTTCTCACCTGTTAAAATGTTCAGCTTCACTTCAGTGTAGGAATCTTTTCCTGTAGTTAAATCAACTCCACACTGGTACGTCCCAGAATCCTCTTCTGTCAGATTTCTGATGGTCACAGTGAAGACTGGCGATCTTGTGTCGTCATACAAAGAGAATCTCTCCTTCTGAATCCATTTATCTGTTTCATTAGTCCTGATGAGGTCAGAACACCACCCAGACTTTATTTTTTTTGGCATCTTTCCTCTACAAAAATACTTTTTATTCTCTGTATATCCTTTATCATATTTGCATGTGATGTTGACTCCTCCTCCTGAATATCCGATCACACTCATGGAGCTCACGACACCTACAACAAACCAGCATTAAATTCAATTAGGCCACTGCTTCTTAAATTCCACAACATGAACTGAAGTAAAAGATCAAATCTGTGGTGTTTTCCATGATGTACTCTGAGTTCAGACTCTTACCAGGAATCATCATCAGAGTGAAAGTCCAGATGATCTTCATTCTTCTCTTATTGAAAAATTATCTTCTCTGTTGTTAGTAGATTCAGTTCTTCTGAAGCTCTCGGTGTGTGTTCAGATGAGTTTTGAGTGTTTCTTTCCTGGTTACATGTTTAACATGAAGAGCTGAATGTGTCAGAGACGCCCACTTCCTCAGAGAGAGAGAGAGAGAGAGAGAGAGAGATTAATAAAGCGGTAAGTGAAACAAATGCTTCACATGTGCTTCAGCTTACAGTGACATCTGATGGAAACATTCACAACAGCAGCGACTCACATTGCAACTATTAGTGCAGGTTCCCAATTGACCAACAGAATTAAGGCACATATGACTGGCAGAATAGAAAACAGGAAGAAGAATAAAAAAGGTGATCTGGTGGTGTTGGTTGTGTTTTAACATACTTGTTAATTGACCTGAATTGCTGAACTCATCAAGAACATAAATTCTAGAGTTAAATTTACCTTATAGATTTTAGCAGCACGGTCATTCATGTTCAACAGACCATTTTCAGTCATTTCAATGAATTCCAAATGATCAAATAAAAAATAAAAAAAATCCCCAAAAAATTCCATGTAGGCACGCACAGACATCAAGAATTAGCATATAAATCTCAGCAATGGTGACAGATCACCTCTGAACATAGGCTCATTATTTATTCATGCAGCAATGCATGATGGGAGCCATGAATGAGTTTTGAGTGGTGTCACCCAAAATGCAATGCAACATGGTTTATTATTGTCACCATTGTTGAGATTCACAGGCTTATTCTTAATGTCTGTGTGTCTAAAAAAAGAAACTTTTAAGAAATTATTTTGAATACATTGTAAACGTTAAAAATATTATATACATACACATACACACACGTAAATATATACACTTGTTTAATTTTTTTTTTTTGACAAATTCATGTTTTTACAGAGGGTGTTTTGGATTTATCTTTTCTTATCAGTCCATAAATCATAAAACACCGTCAACAGCCAGAGAAAACCAGTTGACCATATTTTCAAGAGTAAAGCATGAGTCTGATCTCCTGCTGATGGAAGAGAGTCTGAGATGTTCAGCACCACGGACAGAGATTCATCACAACACACACACACACACACACGTTCACAGTCTGTCCTGATGATCTTCTGTTCTCATCAACATCAAATTACACTTCAGAATGTCTTATGATGCTGGATAAGTGACCTTCAATGAAACATTACATGAATCAAAAAATCAGAAATCAGACTTATGTAGTGAGCAGATATTTTTATAAAAGCATTAAGTTCCATGAAGCGGATTCTTTACAGATGTATTTTGACTTGGTTTTGTGTTGAGGATGTTCACACTTGGTCATCATACGATCTCCTGAGTGGCCAGTCGCTGTAGACACGCCCACTTTAGCTGTCAATCACAATTATCTGATCCCCATGATGGTGACTTAAAAATTCTGTGACCAGCGAGGAAGGAGAGAGCCCAGGGATGGGAGTCTATTCTGGGGTATCCAGATCAATAAGTGCTTGCTCCGGGATCGACATGGCAGCAGACTCTGGGGCGTACATGACCTATTAGTATTAGTAATGATAATTTCAAACATGGAAACTTAATGCCAAAGACAATGTGATAAAAAAAAGCCCATTCAGCTAATTTATATTCTGATGTGGTATGTCAAGCACTGAGATGATTGACAGCAGCGTATTCACTGTAATCCTGATTTTTCCTGATACTGACACTGTCAGGACTGTCCGATTCCATGTGGAAATTCACCACTGCGTAATTCAGATCCTCAGCAGATGTGATGCAGCACTGAGAGTCACCAGTGGCTTTCTCAACTGTAGTGTAAACGCAGTGAGGAGAATCAGAGGGGTTTGTGGGTAATTGTGCAGTGGCATAAACAGTATTACAAGAATCAGAGGGGTTTGTGGGTAATTGGGCAGTGGCATAAACAGTATTAAAATAATCAGAGGGGTTTGTGGGTAATTGTTTGTGAGTGTCTTTAATGTCCTCATATTCAAAAGCAGTGTGAGAAACCTGAGGAGAGAAAGAGAAATTATTTACAGCTCTGAATATCATAAGGATGGAAGGCAGTAGACATTTAATTAATTATTTTATACAGTAACTGGACTCACAACTTCATGGTTTCCTGGTCCAGTCTGAGACGACGAATCACCACCTGCCAAAAAACAAGCGTGCTTTCATTAAATACATCATACATTATCACATTCTAACAATTATATCTTTTGAAAATGTTTTTTTTTAAAACATCATCAAATGCATTTTATATTTGTAGCCAATAGGTGGCGACAGGTTCAAATTGAAAAAAAAAAAAACAATCTTTATGTTTTAATCCCACTATAAATGGAGAGTTTCTATATCTTAAGTTGTTAGGAATGATTTTTACCTTGAGACTTATACTTCTTACAGAGAAACAGCACTAAGAGTCCAGTGATGATCAGAAGCAGAAGAACCAGAACCAGAACCAGAAGGTCGATCAGAGAAGTGTCTGAATATATAGAGATAAGAAGAAGAGAATCTGAGCACTTTGAGTTAAATATCAGACTGTATGTTTATATTTCAGTACAAGGGCACCTGTTGACATGTTAGGAGACACTGATGTGATTATTGATGTAGAAGTTATTATGACAACAATAATATAAAGGACTATAATAAAATGGAAGGGATAACTAAACTGTTTTTCGAAAGGATTGTCTTTATTTTTCTTTCTTTCTTTCTTGCTCCCCAGACACAGATCTTGAAATCATGTCTTTTAATGGTTAGTGGTGTAACTCCCCTACCCATAATTCATGTTTTTTGATGCACAGACGCACAGAAAATACAACCGCAAGCAGTTCAAGCTTTAGGGACTTCAATAAATTCATGTTTTCTCATGGTGACTGAAACAATATAACACAAATGAAGGATTAAAATTAACATTTTCTTATCTGTACAAACCCTTAAAGCTCCAGTTGGTAACTTTTTTCAGGTTAAAAATTACCAGGTTATTAAAAAGTACATAACCAGCAAGTGTTCAACTCTCTCTGCTTGCTTTAGCTCGATTCAAAATTGTTAGCTTGTAATAATGTTTTTAATTCCAGTGGGACTGGTGGATTTCCACATGAGATTCGAGCACGTCTTTGCGTCATATCTGTACACATAATGAATGAGACTCGGCTAGTAGACTACACCCAGCTAACAGAATTTAAAGTTACCATTATAAGGGTCAAGAGCCCAACTAAAGCAAACAATGATCGCCATAACGGTGGCGTACAATTTTAGATTTTCTCCTTCAGTGATTCTGCTTTAGGTGTCTTCAATAATGCTCAATCATCACTCAATTAATCACTTAAATATCTCATTAACTTTAATACTCTTGAGTGTGGACTCATATACACTCCCAGGTGTGTTAATTTAACACTGGAGTTTTTACTGTGTACGAAGAGCCGTAATTAACTGACAAGCTGAGCCATATCAAATTAATTATCGCTGGCGATATGTCTTCATATTAATGTGATTTGGCTCAACTTGTCAGTGATCTACAGCTCTTTATAGTAAATGCCGCTCCATCTGAAAGCAGCTGAAGGTGATTTACTACTAATCAAGGAACCGGCTTTACTGATGAGATGTGCATAACAATAAATCGCCCAGCCCTAGTCTGAGGAATCTCTTTTTCCTAATCGAATATTATTTTGTCACCATTGTTGAGATTCATACATTGATTATATGTCTGTGTGTGTGCCTGAAAGAGAGATTTTGTTTATATCATAGGAACTTTTAAGAAATCATTTAGATTATATTGAACAATTTTAAAAATTATCATGTTGGTCATACTTCCAAAGAGTATAATCTGTGATCGTGAGTGCCAGTATCCACACCACCATGGTGATTGACAGCTGCACACTCTCCTCAAACATTGGATTCATCCAAGCTGTGCCATGCCGAGGTACAACCCATGTAAAGATAATAATTCCACAAATAACTGATATAGCAGATTTCGAACAGAGATGGCGACAAAGAGGAAAAACTGAGGACTGCAGCTTTAACTGTGGTGCAAGTGTGGTAAAATGGACTAACATAAAAACTGAAAACTGCACTAAAATTACAACACTACTACTAAAGTAAAAAGACTGGTGGGATACGGTGTCCAAATTGCTGCAACACCAAACACTGTTGTAAGACCAAATGACCACACAAACGTCCACCCTTTGTTCAGATGTCAAGTTCCTGTGTTTACACACTGCTGTAGCTCTTCCCAAGAAAATGACATGAAGATACAAGACCATCTGAACATCAACTGATGTTTCAAATTAACCAATTACATTATGCATACATAATGACAAACTATCACAAACACATGGCCAGTGCATTTGCAGAACAGCACCACACTTTTAACTGCAGAGACTTACGTAACACTAACTGCAGCTCATTTGTGTAATGACACTTCCTCTTTTGTGGTTTGTGACTGTTTTATCGGACAGCACGTTACTTCTACATTCAAATAATCATGTGTGTAAATCTACAAGATAAGTCTGGTTCTTCATTCGGTTTCCACAGCCAAGAAACATGAAGCAAGACACACACATCACTGAGAAAATCACCCATACCTGTAACTCTGATCAGGACTCGTGTGATGAAGATCTTGTGTCCTTGATCAGACTGAACTCCACACCAGTATTCGGAGTCTTGTTCAGTCACATGACTGATGCTTCCCGTCAGGAGCTGCTGTTCTCTGTCATCATACAGCTGGATCTTTCCCTCATCCCTCCATCTTCTGCTCTCATTCACAGACGTCTCTTTAGCACAGAGATCAGCTCCAGATCTCCAGCACAGAAACTTCACATCACCACTGTGGGATTGTGGGTATTTGCAGTTGATGTTCACAGATCCTCCAGCAGAAGCTGATAGACTGATGCTCTTCTCACAACAATCATCTGTGTAAGATCCAAATAAATGTTACAATCACCAGATATATTCATGGATTCTGTCAATAATGCATAAACGACTAAGGTCAGCTCACCCGTCTTAATGTCCAGATCAAACTCAGAAAAGAAACTGTAGTCTTCAGAAACTTTGACTATAATCTTATATTCTCCAGAGTCGTTCTCGTTCAGATCTCCGATAAACAGACGTAAGAGTCCTGCAGATCTGTCATCATGAGCGGAGAATCGTCTGTCACGTTTCCATTCTGTGCTTCTGTTGGTGTTTATTACAGTAAAACACTGATCTGATGATGTTTTACAGACTTTTTTAAAATTATTTGTGTGTATCATCTCATAATTGTAGTCTATAATGATGTTTCCTCCTGAATATCCTCTCACAGTCCTGATTTGTTGACCTGTTGAACACAAACACAGATAATATTGTTTTAAGAATGAAGTCAGTAATGATACTTTATCTTCATTTATTAACAAACATGTGATTACAGTCAGTGTTGAGTATCGAGATGTTGCGGAGATCTTCATGAGTTTGAGGATCTCAGTTTCTCACCTGTTGAAATCTTCAGATTCACTTCAGTGGAGGAATCTATTCCTAATTTATCAACTCCACAGTAGTATTTCCCAGAATCCTCTTCTGTCAGATTTCTGATGGTCACAGTGAAGACTGCTGATCTTGTGTCGTCATACAGAGAGAATCTTCCATTATTAAACCATTTATCTTTAATATCAGTCCTGATTTGGTCTTTACAGTCTGACCACTTTCCTTTACAAAAATACTTTTTATTCTCTGTATATCCTTTATTATATTTGCATGTGATGTTGACACCTCCTCCTGAATATCCAATCACACTCATGGAGCTCACGACACCTACAACAAACCAGCATTAAATACAAAACTACTATATTCATAAAACTGAACAGAAAAATCTATTTTCAATAAATCTGTTTTCCATGATGTACTCTGAGTTCAGACTCTTACCAGGAATCATCATCAGAGTGAAAGTCCAGATGATCTTCATTCTTCTCTTATTAAATGATCTTCTCTGTTGTTAGTAAATTCAGTTCTTCTGAGGCTCTCTGTGTGTGTTCAGATGAGTTTTGAGTGTTTATTTCCTGGTTACATGTTTAACATGAAGAGCTGAATGTGTCAGAGATGCCCACTTCCTCAGAGAGAGAGAGAGAGATAGAGAGAGACTGAAGTGTGTCCATCTAGTGTTGTTGTGAACTCCTGATAGAGAGCTGATGGGCTCTTGACCACCAAATCATTACCGTTAGATTTTGTTTGACTGCTGTACATGAGTTATAAGAGCCAGATGAACAAATAAAAAAGGTGATCTGATGGTGTTGGTTGTGTTTTAACATAATCAGTATTTCACAATCATTTGACCCTGAATCGCTGAACTCTTGTAGAGTGTAATTTCTGAGTTAGGTTTACATTTATTAATTATAGCAGCAGTGACCTTGTCCAGCATAATATTTTTAACATTTACAATGTATTCAATATTTTTTTAAATCTTTTCTTATACAGTTTTTCACTTCTCTACAATGTTAAGACACACAGACATCAATAATTAGCCTGTGAATCTCAACAATGGTGACAATTATAAAGCATGTTGCAGTGCATTCTGGGTGCCTCCAATCAAAACTCATTCATAGATCATGAATAAATCCCATCATGCATTGCAGCATGAATAAATAATGAGCTTATGTTCAGATGTGATCTGTTTGTCACCATTGCTAAGATTAGTATGTTAATTTTTGGATGTCTTTGCATGCCTATATAAAATATTTTCGGGATTTTTTTTGATCGTTTTTTTCATTGAAAAGGCTAAAAATGGTATGTCGTAAAATGACCAAGCTGCTAAAATCCTTAAGGTAAAATTAACTCAGAATATATGCTCTTGATGAGTTCAACGATTCAGGTCAATTAATGATAATGTTAAAACACAACCAACACCATCAGATCACCTTTTCTATTTGTTCATCTGGCTGTTATAACTCATGTACAGCAGCCAAACTAAATCTAAAGTTAATGATTTAAGGGTCAAGAGCCCAACTAAACCAAACACTGATCTCCATAATGGTGACTTCAAATTCCGGTTTTCTCCTTCAGTGATTCTGCTTGTTAACATCAGGTGTCTTCAATAATGCTCAATCATCACTCAATTATTCACTTAATTATCTCATTAACTTTAATACTGCCTCAGTGTTCATTTAACACTCTGCTCAGAGTTTATATAATTCTCACTTCTCTGTGTTAATTTAACACTGGGGATTTTGCTGTGCAGGGGCCAAAGAGTAAAATTCCTGCCAAATGTTTATTCCACCATGACGTCAGTCAGCTGATTTCACCAATTAGTTCCCTCTCCTGTTTGAATTAGCAAATCCAGGTAATTGGAACAAAATTCTGAGGAGGACTTTTACTTTCTGAACCTGGAATTTACACCTCTGCATAGCAATGCCACACGTCAGCCACACTTCAGGATTTAGCATTAAACTTTGTATTAGTAGAAACCTGTAGTATTTTCTGTAAAAAAAATCCTACTACTGACTGTACCCAGACAGCAAACTGACATTGAATCAACGTGGAAATGACGTCTCTCATGACATTGAAACAACGTTGATTTTGCTCATTGAATTAATGTTGAACCAACGTCAGACGCGGCATTCTTCAAAGCTAAATGAAAATCGACGCGTTGATTTCAAGTTGATATTCCGTTAGTTTTGAAAGAATGACACGTCTGAAGTTGGTTCAACGTTAATTCGATGAGCAAAACAATGTCAGATCAACGTTGTTTCGATGTCATATTTCCACGTTGATTCAATGTCAGTTTGCTATCTGGGTAGTCTTTAGTATCTGGCCAAAAAATCGTCAAAAAATATATATTTTTTTGATCAGATGACGTAAAATGACAATTTTTGCGTCATCTGAGGATTTTTTGTCCAGAGGCTAAAGACTAATCACGTCTTTAATGACTAATCACGGCTAATCACTAATCACGGTAATCACGCCACCGGCCTCGTGCCGTTCTTCTTTTGGATTCTGACCGGAAAAAGTAGACCTTCCAGGTATCTTTGAAACACTCATTTCAACATACTACGATTTGGGACGTACTACTTCTATTCTCGAATACTATTTAGGACGGATAACGGATAGTATGCGAATTGGGACGCACTAGTGCGGGTGAGGGCAAGGGCATAACAAACAGGAAGCATGACTGTGAGAATTACAAAATAAAAGACATGAAAACAAGAACATAAAACATAACCCAAAACCATGTGACATTTATTTGTGAAGGAATTATCTCCTCATTTTATTGCAGTCGTACACACATGACGTACAGTTTGTCTGAGCTGTGCATTCATTTGAATTTGAACAGCTTTTAAGCATCGCAGGAGAAGCAGACTCACTTCTCCAATCTCAAAATACTTTTATGATGCAAAACTAATCTAAACAGCTGTCTTATGGGATGTAGACGCTTGAATTAATGCTGTCATATACAGAAAATCTGCTTCAAAATTAAATTAACTGCTGTTAAGGCAAAAATTCAATAAACAGACATCACTTCGTAAGAGACACTCTGAGTCAAATTAATAAAGGAAAAGGTTTATTATTCTTGCAGGCTCAGTCACCAACACAGATTACTGCGAAGTGGAGTGACGCCCAGAACACAGGCCGGGGTGAAGACTAAATAGCCCTCCCCAAGGTTATTTACTGCAAGCCGAGCCTTCTCTGTAAATTTCCACAAAGCCATAGGATTCATGATGTCAGGTTAGATTTACTAACCCCCTCTACCCCTCCCAGTCTAAGATGACCCCTGACCCGGCCAGTCCTCCGGTGCCTAGCTCCACTCGTGATAAGGGAGAACAAATCACTTCCTCCAAACCATAAGACATTCCTCCGTGGTTACATATAGGAGGTGAACACATAATATAGAAATAATGAAACATAAGATCCAATAACCATATTAACACATGCAAGATTAAATTCCTCAACACTGCTAATTATTATACTATTGACTAAATCTCAGACAATTTATTCCAGATATTTTAATCAAATCCGCTAACTTGTTTGAAGAACCAAATTAGCCATAAAACATCTGGCATCTGTCAAATCCTCTCATGTATTAAGCCAGAGAAGAACCGACCCCCTGGTCAAATTTCGTCGGGTTGTCTGTCACATCCACAATGGTGACGAGTACCACAGCATCAGCCGTCTTACTGGCATCATCCTGCTGAGTTGCCTTTTAACAAGGAAACAGTTTTTACAAAGTTTACAAAATGATATACCTAAAATCCTTTCAGATTCATAAGATCAGCTTAATAGTTTTCATGAATGTATTAAGAGACTTCTATAACCTGAATGAAAACGGCAATCTGCTCTATTTCCTCTTTTTCTAGAGCTGTTGTCACAGAGATGACCCCACTCTTTCGGTCAATTTCAAATCTGTTCTGAAATTCATTTGGAATTACTGGAACAAAAATGACAATAGATGCTTTATTATTATCAGAAACTTAATTCAGATTGTGAGTACGTTTCATTATTAGGTGTTGTTTAGATCAGGACGTATGCCATGGCTGTTGTTGAGGTTACCTGTTTTTATGCTGTACACTACAGGCTCATTGATGCCTTTGTCTCCATCTTGAGCTTGTATGGCTGCAGGAGTGACGTCTGAGAAGTGTCCTACCTGTGCATGGACAGAAAGAGGGTTTTATGGCTGTGTGTGCTCAGACATACGTTTAAAGCATCAATCTTGATGTCATTTACCTGATTTTCCTCAATAGATGCCTTGTAGAGACAGTGGCCAAAGTAAGGGGTTTGGTTGTCAAAATCTTCAATTGTTATTATAACGGTTGCTGTGTCACTGAGTCCTCCTGCATCCTGCAAGAAAACAAACTCACTTGTTGCGTTAAAAACAACCCTAATAGCCTAACTAGAGGATTTGTAGAGCACCGTCCCAACTGTGACTTATTTCAACCTAAAAGAGTTTCTCAGCTCAGTCATTTGGATTAAACTTCACCCAACTATGATGCTAGCGGCATCATAACTATGCCAAAACTATGGGTGGCAGTGTAGGGAGAAGGATAAAGCCATTACAAGCCAATCAGAATCCTCAGAATCAACAAGAGTGAACCAAAAAACTGTCCCAGTTTATATGGCAACACATAACCAGCGTTTTCCGAAATCTCCACTTTGGCCGGAGTTTTTAGAAATAATCGTTTTCTGCGATAAAAACGGGCTTGTCGTGTAAACGAGAGGGAAATATCTCCGTTTTCTCTTCGTCTAAATGGGTTCCTAAAGTAATACTGGAGCAGTGTTAAAGTTAATGAGATAGTTAAGTGATTAATTTAGTGATCACTGATGATTGCGCATTATTGATGAACACCTGCTGTTAACAAGCAGAATCACTGAAGGAAAGTGAAACACGAGAACTACAACTGAAATCAGCCACAATCTTAAGGCCTGCACACACCGGGACGAATATCAGCGCGTTTTTCGTCAGCGTTTTTCAACGTGTTTTTGTCTTCACACACAAGCGATTTTCGCTGACGATGAGCCGAGTGAACATGCAAATTCATTCCCTGACTTTAGATGGCGCTTAATGTAAAACAGAAATAGTCCTATTTTGTAGTTGCGTTTGTCATATAGTTCTTTATGTTCCGACACCAACGAGACCAGCAGTTCTACACTCGTCTTGCCTTGCATCTTCCTCGTCTTATTTCTTGCCGGCAGTGTAGACGCTACTTGGCGTATATCTTCTTCATTGCTATGTATGTGTGCTCGGCAAGACCGTTTTGAGTTTGAGTGCCCCCAAGTGGTGTTTTACTGTAACTTCAGAAGCTCCAGACACGTGAGCAAAAGCGGCTATCACATTGGTCGGATAGTTTTTGACGCGGTGCGTTTTAAAAAAAAATGATGCTTTTACGCATGGCAGTTTTTTGTGTCGGTATGCACACTCACATCGGCTCCCATTGTTTAGTCAAGAGGCGTTAAACATCGGCCTTTAGGGGTTGTTTACAACACTGTTTTCAACCAAAAACCTTTTATGTGTTTTGGCCGTTTGTTTACACAACAATGGCGTTTTGGGTGCCTTAAAACGCAAACTTCATCATAAAATAGCATCAAAAAGTGTAGTAGTTCATTAATTTTATCCCTGATTAAAAGAGGTTATTTGTTATTAATATGTAATATTTGCCAACAATAATTTCTTCCCACAGATCATACTTAAAGCAAACACAGACATCAAGAGTCAGCAAATTAATACCAACAATGCTTCACATGCTTCAACTTTTCACAATGTATTTAAAGTTGAATCAATGCGGTAAACATTGACATGTTAACATTGATTTAACTTTTTTTACAATGGTTTTCGCTATCTTGGGGTTGGACTGGTAGGATGTCAGAGGGTTTGTCTTTACTTTAGCTTCCACGGTGAAGATATACTGTTGAACATTGTTGTAGTTCAGAGGTTTAGTCAAAATGATGTTCCCTTCCCTGTAAGACACTCCAAAGTCAGCCGGTACCGGAGGCTGTTAACAGAGAGGAAGTAAGGAATTAAAATAGGGACATGCATAAATTCCTAGAGACAAACTGAGCTTATACAATGTTATTTCGTTTTCTTAAAAAAATAGCATGCATCAGCTCTAAGATTAAACATATTCAGTGTTTAAATAGATTGAAAGCATTATTGGTTATAAATCTGGTCTGGTGGATTAACAGAAATGCATATGAAAGAGTGTTCAGATGAAGAGTAACAGGGGATGAGGATCGGGATGTTCAAGTTTGGAAAAAAATTTTTTAAATAATTTTTTTTTTTTGTGAAATAAACTTTAGGTTTTTGTTTATAATCAAAGTGCAGAATTTCCAAGACAAGAACCCTAGCATATGTAAGGTACAGCATTTGGGGCTTGAACACTGTCGATTCAATTGTTGCATGCCGTTTCACTCATTTAGTCTGTAGGACTTTTGCATTCATCAGTAATGCAGTTTTGTGGAAGCTTGGCTATATAAAATAATTGTTTGTGACTCACCTGTATAGAATAACCAACCATTTTGTGTTCTGTAGTCGCATCTTTATCAGTAGCCGTCACCTTGAGCACACCTGAACCCACAACCGTTGCCTGGAATGAAAGACACGGTTTACTAGAGATGGGCTCTCAGAGGCCAAACACACTACAGCTGTATAAAGATGTGACACTGTACACACCTCTGACAGTGTGGCGCTGTATGTCTTGCTCTGGAAGATCGGGGCGTGTTCATTAACATCTATAACAACGACTTCCCGGGCGTTTCTCGGCTGAAATGGAAAATGAAGACTTTATAGAATTGGTATATAGACCAAATATTCTATAAACCATATAGAATATGGTTTATTTGCTGAATCATCATTTTTATAATACTTTGTATTATTTATTTATTTCATGATGTCATTGTTTAAATGAACATACCCCTCTGGAGCATTTGACAAAATAAGTCAAATATTGGGAAGACTAGAAGGAACAAAACATACAAAGAGACTATATGAAAAAATCAAATGCAATAATATCTATCTAACATCCATCTACAGTGAGGGTGGAACAGACCATTCTTATTTCTTCAGCATCCAGTGGTCTGATGGTGCGTACAGTAGCGGTCGAGTCTCCCTCAGATTGAACCAGCTCTAACATTGTCAGAACATTGCTAGTCATATATGTCTCCAGAGAGAGATGATCATAGGGTACGATATTAGTGATAATCTCTACATCTCCTGTAAATAAGATCAAATACACATTCTAACACACAATCTAAAACATAAATACTAGAGCCCGACCGATAAAGGATTTTGAAGGCCGATACTGATACAAATATTTTGGGGTTTTAAAATCCTATATTCGATATATCCGCCGATATTTTTTTTAAATTAAATATTGTTGGATTTCACACATGTGTAAAAGAAAAGCTAACTTTTCTGCACAAGATACGTTGGATACTTTTTCTCTATGTCTAAATGTTCACTCCTCGCAAGTATAACTTACATTTTACAATGCAGGGACTGTAACTAGAGATATGCTAGTTATAAATACGGTAATCATTACTTTATTTAGGCAGAAAAAGTTCATTGTGGTTTCCAAGCTCATTAATGTTAACGTTAGCGGTCTTCCACTGATGATAGTGGCATTAGCTAGCTTTGTGGTTAGCTAGTCTATGATGAGCCGTAATTTAGCAATAAATAACATCATACTACAAGTTGTAAAACATACATTTTCAATATAACAGGCCAAGGAGAGATGATTGAAGCGTGTTTCGTCCGTTTTTATTTTATTTTTTAAATATTCATTTATCGGCCATTATAACGGCCAAGACCGATATTATGGAAAATGCCTAATATCGGCCGGCCGATATATCGGTCTGGCTCTAATAAATACTAGATAATGCCAGTATTATTTTGCATTACTTGTGCATTACTTGTCCATTTAAGGTCCTTTATCTTAATATTTACAACAAATTAAAATTAATAAAACAATATATAATAATAAAACAATAAAATAATAAAACATATATATATATATATATTTATTATATTATAAATGTTGGCATATTTCACCTTCATATCCCTCATCGATCCTTCCTACAGAGATACTACCTCCACTTGCACAGTTTATCTCTGTGGAACCTTAAACAACAAGTCATCGTTTTCAGAACAAACAGCTAAATGATTACATTTAGCACACATTACCATAATATATAACATATTTTAATAATCAAAAAAAGAGAAAGGTTTTGGCGTGTCTCAGTTGCCATTCACAAATCTTTACTTTACTTTCTTTCCTCAGCAGCAGATCAAAGTTACTGCACAGTGTGAACACTTAATAGAATGTGTAACTTGACATTATCAAAACTAAAACCTGTTGAGCATTTAAGACTTTTGTCAAGCATGTTTCTATATAGATAGATAGATAGAATACATTTGACTTACCAATAGCACACCTAACACTGTGGACATGCATACAGGCGAAAATAATTAAAACAGAGAATAAGGCCACCCTTTCCATAGTTCACCGTCAGTGCAGCTTGTGTTTTGACGCCTGGCAGTGAGGAGAACAACTATTTATTCTCTCTTATTTATTGTATGCCATAAACTTCTGTGGCCTCTGCTGTAAGGAAGTATCAAAGGTGCTTCATAGAGGCCAACAATGCATGATTGGCAGCTTATGGAACCTTTGTAACAGACCTTTGTTCTGTTACTCATTGAATGGTTTCCAAACAAAGTTGCAAATTTAACTTGTGCACAAAACTGAATATCACATGAAACATTTGCGAAAAGTAGGAGAAGCCGCTGTATATACATTTTTTCGTGTATAATACTTGAAACACAATAATAGTAATTATACTGAGCCACTTTGACGACAGACTTTGACCAAAACTGCATGTCAGACGCTGTGCAAAAAGGTGGTTAGTCCAGTTATGCCTCTTATCACAAAGTCACATGTTTTTTTTTTTTTTTTTTTTGATGCGCATTGAGGACATTCATTCAGTTAATGTGTTACCATTGTAGTTTATGAGCATGTTTTCTTAACGGATGGAAAAATTTAGCCAACTCAAACGTGCATATATGTTTTTTATGCATATTTTTAGAATGTATGCGCATCTTGATAGCTGTAGTAGGATTTATAATGTAAATGTATTAACTTTTAGGAGAACATGGTAACAAAAATGAAATGAGCTAGATAGACTGATGCTCTTCTCACAACAATCATCTGTGTAAGATCCAAATAAATGTTACAATCACCAGATATATTCATGGATTCTGTCAATAATGCATAAATGACTAAGGTCAGCTCACCCGTCTCAATATCCAGATCAAACTCAGAGAAGAAACTGTAGTCTTCAGAAACTTTGACTATAATCTTATATTCTCCAGAGTCGTTCTCGTTCAGATCTCCGATAAGCTAAATAAAGTTGTTTACACTTGTTTTTTTATTGTTTTATATTAGCAACTTACAACATTGCTAGGCATGGTGTACCTAAGGAGATAATAAGTGATCATGTGTCGTTTATAGTGCAGAGGTGCGTCTATCTGAAAAAGACTGGGGCATAAACTGGAAATATATACATTAAATCTGAAGATCCCTCAGAGGAGGATTAAACAACTCCACAAACAGCATTACCAGCTTCACTTATTACCAACCAGACTGACTTTAATTCTGTCAGACGTCTACAAAACGTTTTATTGGGAATCAACAGAGGTTTTTGTTTCTTTTTGGAACGATTTTAAATTAAGAAAACCATGTTTTAAAAATCTACGTCAGTGGGACTACGGAAAGGTTGAAGTGAAAGTACTTTGTCAACAGTATACTTTCAGTGTCTCTTGGGACAGCACTAGATCAATGAGGAAACTTGAGTTTGAAATAATAGAGGCACAAGGTTTAGCAGAGATTACTGGGGAGGGAAGACATATCGAGACACTTCAAACTAAGACATCTCTTCTGTCAGATTTTCTTGGCATTAAAGCAAAGGGGGCTCTGGTCCATTCTCGCTTTCAAAATTTCACACAATTGGATGCCCCATCTAAGTTTTTCTTTAGACTTGAAAAAAGAACGGCCAGAGTCGCTGTATTCACTCCTTACGCTCTGAAAATGGGCAGGAATTGACAAAGACATCTGAAATTAGACAACGAGCTGTACAGTTCTATGACAAATTGTATACTAGTGAATATAGAAAGGACGAGGGGTTGTCTGCTTGCTTCTATGAAGGTCTGGAAATGTCTTGGAGGTCACAAAGGCAGAGCTGGAGAGGCCTCTTTCAGAAGAGGAGGACTTCCAGATTCAGTGATCTTTGTGCACTGCCACTTCCGTTGAATGACCGATCTCACTGGCGAACTGATGAAGGACTACACTAAGTTATTTATACGGCATCCCTGGTAAATTAGTCTGATTCACTAAAGTGCCGGCAGCAAACAAACGTGCTACCTTGTTTTATTTGAAAGTTATAATCCAGTTCTTCCTTATACTCAATTCAGTCGGGAATCCATGAAAACGTACGTAGGGTTGGCGTTGCTGGTTAGATTTGCAAATTGGAACAGAGCAGTGACATATATAGCCTTCGTCTCAGGCATTGTTGAACGGAAGTGGACATTTTGACATATCCCACCCATGAAACCTGGAAGCGTGATAATCCCCTATTGGAAGGCAAACAAGGAGGGAATTGAGGGAAAGCAGGTGGGACAAATAAACCAATAACGACGTAATGTAACGGAGGCCAGCTAGTAGTTGCTGTGGAAGTAAAACTCACTCCCCTGATCTCAATAGGCGCTCTAGTGACAGACGCTAGAGGCTGCAGTCTTTAGCCTCCTCGTTAGAGCGCCCGACTCTCATGCCGGAGACCTGGGTTGAGGCCCGCTCGGAGCCGGTCGAGTGGGACCCGGGTAGAGGGGTTACAGTAACAAGATGGGAGTGGCTAGAACATCAACAAGAGCACATGGCACACAGAAATCACATGATAGAGTGTGCTCACAACCAACAAGACCATAACATCGCAAAACCCAAGAATAACCAGAACTGTAGTGACAGAATCGTGACATGGACTCCCAGCTGAGTTTTATAAAGAGTTTGGGGCCGTGCTGGGCAAAGACCTGCTGGAAGTCCTAAATGAAAGCTTGGCTGATGGCTCTTTACCCTTGAGCTGTAGGAGAGCAGTGGGTAGGACTGTGTATGATTCTGTCTTATTAGTGTGGCAAAGTTATTGTCATAATACAGAAGGAGACAACACAGGTGAGTAGCGTGACACATGTTTATTCAGAGGAACTGTAAGCACAAGCACCAGAATCACATTACAGTCAAAATCCACAACTGCAGCAAGCAAACAATAAAAACTAAAAACTGTGTATTATTTGGAGCTCAGTGTTCATCCTGGACCCTGTATATACTGCACATCTGTCTTTCCTTTTAAATCAATCATTTTATACACATTCTCTGCAGTGGAGATTCAACTGATGAGGTGGATGAAGATGATGAGGACGAAGATGAGGATGGTGGTGACAGTGATGGTGATGTTTCTGGAACTTTTGTAAAAAACAAAACAAAAACAAAAATAATGAAACAATGAATTTCTAAAGGATGCATTTTTTCACACACATAACTTGATACATGATACAGATAGATGTTTACTGATGTTTATCACACATTGACTACCCAGAATTCGTGTTTGATGACATTCAGTCACTAAGAAAAAAAACCCCAAGATGTTAGTTTGAGTTTCTAGAGCTGAAACCACACACAGTAAATTCCCCGGTGTTAAATTTAACACCGCTCTGTGTTTACATGGGAACCAGCAGCAGGGTGTTAAAAGTAACACTGAGGCAGTGTTAAAGTTAATGAGATAATTAAGTGATTAATTGAGTGATGATTGAGCATTATTGAAGACACCTGATAACAACAGAATCACTGAAGGAGAAAATCACAAATTGTAAGCCACCGTTATGGAGATCAGTGTCTGCTTTAGTTGGGCTCTTGATCCTTATACTTTCACTTTAAATTTTGTTTGTCTGCTGTTATTGATAATAATAGTCAAATGAACAAAAAAAAAACTGTGATCTGATATTGTTAGTTATGTTTTGACATAATCATGCTATGATCTGAAAAATCAAACTTTTCAGATGAGTTGACTTAACTTGTTACTAACAGTTTAGTGATTGTACAACATATCCATATCTTTCTTATAACCTAAAATATTTAATAAAAACTATTCTGATCAAATCACTTTCATCTTCATTTAGAAACACAGAGATCAATAATCAGCCTGTGTATCTCAACCATGGTGACATTAATAATCCTTGTTGCCACCGATCACAATTCATTAATGTCCCCCATCATGCATTGCAGTATGAATAAATTATGATCTGAATTGTCTATGTAATTTACTTTTCCTAATTGAATATTCTGCTCATCACCATCGTTGAGAAGCATTGACTGAATCTTGAGGTCTGTATATGCTTGTAAGAAGTTTTTTTTTTTTAAACAACTTGTAGAAATCGATTATATTATATCTAACATTCTGGATATTTATGCAGAATCTCAGTTATACTGCGACCTACAAAATTAACCACAAACATATATTTCAAATGAATGTCATAATATGACCAACACCATCATATAAATTGTTTCTTTGTTCATCTGGCAGGTATAACTCAGATGCAAACAGCCAATTAAAATATAAAGTTAATAATGAAAGGATCAAGAGCCCAACTAAAGCAAACACTGATCTCCATAACGGTGACCTGAAAGTTAGGTTCTCCTTGTAATTCTGCTTTAGGCGTCTTCAATAATGCTCAATCATCACTGAATTAATCACTTAATTATCTCATTAACTCAAACACTGTATCAGTGTTACTGTTTTAACACCCTGCTGGCGGTTCCCATATGAACACAGAGTGGTGTTAAATTTAACACCGGGGAATTTACTGTGTGTAGTTTCACACTGAATAATTAAATACACTGCACCAAAGTCAATGATGAGCAACATTACACTGCACTTTAGAAAGAAATTGTAATTTGTGTCCAAATTAATACTAATGCTGGAATATCAAGCACTGTAGTAATACAAAATTAATTATTTCTTAAATGCATAATGATTCATATCACTGAGAAAATCACCCGTACCTGTAACTCTGACCAGGACTCGTGTGATGAAGATCTTGTGTCCTTGATCAGACTGAACTCCACACCAGTATTCTGAATCTTCTTCAGTCACATGACTGATTCTTCCCGTCAGGAGCTGCTGTTCTCTGTCATCATACAGCTGGATCTTTCCCTCATCCCTCCATCTTCTGCTCTCATTCACAGACGTCTCTTTAGCACAGAGATCAGCTCCAGATCTCCAGCACAGAAACTTCACATCACCACTGTGGGATTGTGGGTATTTGCAGTTGATGTTCACAGATCCTCCAGCAGAAGCTGATAGACTGATGCTCTTCTCACAACAATCATCTGTGTAAGATCCAAATAAATGTTACAATCACCAGATATATTCATGGATTCTGTCAATAATGCATAAATGACTAAGGTCAGCTCACCCGTCTTAATGTCCAGATCAAACTCAGAGAAGAAACTGTAGTCTTCAGAAACTTTGACTATAATCTTATATTCTCCAGAGTCGTTCTCGTTCAGATCTCTGATAAACAGACGTAAGAGTCCTGCAGATCTGTCATCATGAGCGGAGAATCGTCTGTCATGTTTCCATTCTGTGCTTCTGTTGGTGTTTATTACAGTAAAACACTGATCTGATGATGTTTTACAGACGTCTATCACATGATTTGTGTGTATCAGCTCATAGTTTATAATGACGTTTCCACCTGAATATCCTCTCACAGTCCTGATTTGTTGACCTGCTAAACACAGTAGTGGTCATCTTTATTCAATGACAAACAAACTTTAGTGACACATAAACACAATAGGAGATAAATAAAGTCAGTGTATTTGCCCTATTTACTCATTATCTGGCATCTTGGGGATAAATACAAACCACAGTATTTACATCAGTATCAGTCTCATGGGGTTATGGAGATCTTCATGGGTTTGAGGATCTCAGTTTCTCACCTGTTGAAACCTTCAGATTCACTTCAGTGGAGGGATCTGTTCCTAATTTATCAACTCCACAGTAGTATTTCCCAGAATCCTCTTCTGTCAGATTTCTGATGGTCACAGTGAAGACTGCTGATCTTCTGTCGTCATACAGAGAGAATCTTCCATCATCAAACCATTTATCTTTAATATCAGTCTTGATTTGGTCTGTACAGTCCGACCACTCTCCTTTACAAAAATACTTTGTATTCTCTGTATATCTTTTATCATATTCGCATGTGATGTTGACTCCTCCTCCTGAATATCTGGTCACACTCATGGAGCTCACGACACCTACAACAAACCAGCAGTTATTACAAAACTAATATATTCATAAGACTGAACAAAAAATCTGATTTCAATAAATCTGTTTTCCATGATGTACTCTGAGTTCACTCTTACCAGGAATCATCATCAGAGTGAAAGTCCAGATGATCTTCATTCTTCTCTTATTAAACTATCTTCTCTGTTAGTAGATTCGGTTCTTCTGAAGCTCTCGGTGTGTGTTCAGATGAGTTGAGTGTTTATTTCCTGGTTACATGTTTAACATGAAGAGCTGAATGTGTCAACATCGCCCACTTCCTCAGAGAGAGAGAGAGAGAGAGAGAGAGAGAGAGAGAGAGAGAGAGAGAGAGAGAGAGAGATTAATAAATAGGGAAGTGAAAGACACTGACATCTTTGCTGATAATTTACTCACCCCCATGTCATCCATGATGTCCATGTCTTTCCTTCTTCAGTGGAAAAGAAATTAAGGTTTTTGATGAAAACAATTCTGGATTTTTCTCCATATAATGGACTTCATTGGGAACCAAACGGTTCAAGGCCCAAAAGACACTTTCAGTGCAAACTGTTCAAATGGCTTTAAACGATTCCAGATGATGAATAAGGGTCTTATCAAGCGAAACAATCGCTCATTTAAAAAAGAAATAACAAAGTTTAAGTTTTATAAGCTCAAATGGTTGCCTTGCTCTGTTCTGTGATGTGCGTTCGTGACTCTCCTGTTCAAACTCGTTCATCAAAATGAACAAATCTTTTTTCATGTCATTTGGTTCATTCAACGAACGAAATGAACGAGTTGACTAGGGAAAAGATTTGATTTTTAATGAGCGATCGTTTCGCTTGATAAGGCCCTTATTCATCGTCAGGAATCATTTAAAGCCTTTTGAACAGTTTGCACTGAAAGTCTGTTTTGGACCTTGAACCGTTTGGTTCCCATTGAAGTCCATTATATGGAGCAAAATCCAGAAGTGTTATCAAAAACCATAGCTTCTTTTGGACTGAAGAAAGAAAGAACGGGACATCCGTAAAGGGGGGGTTGACTGCTTTTTTTCTTTGCATGATTGTATTTATGGGGTGCAATAGAACATGTATTCGTGGTTTTTCTTTTTTTTTAAAAGTATTATTTTTCATAAACTTCACATTTATTGTCAGCCGCGCTCTCCTCTGTCCCCTGAACGAGCGGTTGACTTCCTGAGTCTATGAAACCACTCCCTCAGAAACAGGCAGTGGGCTCAGATTGGTTAGTTTGGGCCGGTGTGTTGTGATTGGCTAAACTGTCACTCACGTTGTCTGGGAGGTTAACGGCCATTACCTTTACGGGCGAAACGTGCCTGCGGCGCTGCGGTCCAGTCGAACTGCAGTATCAGTTTCAGGCAGAATCAGACCGAGAAAGCCGCGATGAAGAGAGTCAAACAGAACCTCACCACATACTACAGCTCTTACTAAACGTTTCTGAATGATAATTTGCTACATATTTTAACTTTATACACATTTGTTTTACACAATAGCATCTGACTGGCAACAATATCAACTGACTGGCTACTAATGTTATACTCAAACAGCGTTGGCATGTTTACGTTCTTGATCAAATCGAAAATAAAGTCATAAAACACACACACACACACACACACACACACATATATATATATATATATATATATATATATATATATATACATGAAAAATACGTTTAAAACATTAGTACTTATAGAAAATTCAGGTCCATAATGTTTGTACGCGTTTGTCGTAGACACAAAATAGCATAGGCTAACTAGTAGTGGCAATAAAGCCAGCGCTGTCATTTGAAAAAACAAAACAAAAATAAAACACAAGGCATTTTTCTGTGCTTCTTAAATGGGCTGTTACTGCTTCTTTAGCTGATTGCAAAGGTGGAAGATTTATTTTCCAGAGGAGAGGTGTTGCATACCTTTGAATGTCTCCGACTGCCACCCTGATTGTTTTCTCCTCAAGGATTTGCACCACTTCTGTGTCTTGTGATCAGTTTCTCACTCCCATACGGAAGTGTCCATTTGCCACAATTTCTGTACATTGTTGAACAGTTCGGCTTTTGCTGACAAAGTGGAGGTTAGACAGACACTGTTGTGGTGAGAGCTGACTGGCAAGGAATTTTGAGGGGCCCTGCAGAGTCCACCCGAGTCTGGTTTTCACAGCGGCAGGACCGCCAGGAGGTCAGAGACGTACTGGCTCTGTAGCTGTAATTAAATATGGATAATCTGAGCCAATGAGTAAGAATGGTTGAGCCTGCTGCATTGAGGGAATGGGCAGACCTTGCAGATATCTGCATTTCTTCTGCAGCAACTTAACAGGGTAAGTGTGTTTTGCGAGGCTCAGTTCTTTGGCTGTAAAAGCTCTTTCAATGGTGAAGGATTTGTTTGGCTGAAATGCAGAAGCTACTGAGAATGAAACAGCCACCCCATGAACCACCCGTATGTCTTGTCTCACAGTACAGAGGGCTATATCTTCAGGAGGTCCTTGAAGATCAAGTTGGTGTGCTGCTTCATACAGTAACATTGTCCTGTCTGATCAGTCATCTAATATAGCGTACATGTCAAGTTCCTTCTCTCCATTTCTCAAGATCATTCGGCTGACCTTCAAAAGAACTTTGCTGCCTGCAGTTGGTCTGTCCATATACAAAATCTCTACTTCTGAATTCACAAGACAACTGTTTTCTGCTGAGGCTTGTGTTTCATGTTTACCTTTGGCATTGAAGTCATGCAGCATTTCTAAATGTCTCTTTTCACATTTTTTGCATTTGGCTTTAAGATTACATTGTGAGATCTGGTGATCACGGCCACACCTAAAGCACTTCTGATTTGACTTCAGCCAAGACTCCACTTGATCTTGATTCAGCAGTTTGAAATTAGCACACTGATTGAAGTAATGCTGCAGTGTTGCAGAAGGGGCAGTACTTTGTCGGTTTCTCCTTCTTGACTGCTGTAACACTTGCTGGTTTACTCGGTTCGCCACCATCCAAGACAGTAGCAAATCGTTGAACCGGTTTGCAATTCCTTTGCTGTTCTCTCTGTGGCTGAGAGTAGGCTCTGCTTACATTACGAACGTTCTGTGACTCATCCTCTTGTATTCTGAGCTCATATTCAAGTTCTATCAGTGTTGGAACTGGGTTCTGAATGGGGATAACAAACCTTCTGAAGTTTGCTTTAAGATCATGAGGCATCTTGACAAGGAGATGTGAAACATGTGACCCACATTTGAGCTCTGTCCATCCTTTAGCTCCAAGTTGGTCCAACATTCCAACTCATGCACGCACATTGAGGACAAACATTCTAAAAGTGTCACCACTCCTGATTTTTGGGCCATCCATCAATTCTGCAATTCTTTGTAGTGCGAGTTGATGTGGTTGACCATAAAATGCAGTTAGAGACCTCATGGTGTTGGTGTATGGGTACCAGCTGTTGACGTACAAGTCTGCAATGAGCAAGGCATCCTCCTGTTTCAGATGATCAACGAGTATTTGGTACTTGAAACATTCTGTAGCCTCGGCAGGTAGCAAATTCTCCAGTGCAATTTTGAGTCGTGCAAACTCTCTGGGATCTTCACTGCAAAAATGAGGAATGGTGAGAATAGGACCTCTGTTGGTGGGCTCTACATGAGGATATGGAAGAGAAGGAGGGCGCACTGGGTGGTATGGCTGATATGTCCCAGGCTGAGCGTAATCTGCGTACTGTCGTGGGGTCAAGAAGCTTGATTTGTCTGTAGGATTAGGAGCTGATTGACCATAGCTGTCTGAGTGTCTCTCATGTGCATGGTGAGCTAATGTATCCCTTGGAGAAAGTCTCTCATCTTGATAGACTGGACTTGTAGCTGGAATCCCATGATAAGGTTGCTGATAACCGCATGGTTCAGTGGAAGGGAAATAGCGCACGGTTTTGCAGTTCAGACTATGATCTTTATAAGTCCCATACGTAGCTGCTGTCTCTTGACTGTAGTCCTGAGGCATAAACTGAACAGCTGCGGGATATTGGTTGCGATCTCTTTGGTCAGTGGACATATAGTTATGGCCTCGGTGGCCTGTGTTGTAGTAACCATGTGGTCCATCTCTGTGCCTAATACCAGGTTGAGGACATGTAGCATCTTCTTGATGGGCTAGCTTGTGTTGGGATTGAGTTGGTTCATAAGAAGAGAAAGGATGATTTGAAGTTAGCCGAGTTGCCGAGCCTGGTAGTCTCAGGTCTCCTAGGTTCTCAGTGAGACAATCAATTTCTTTGTGACTGACAGAATGAGAATGCAGAAGGTCACCTCGTGAATCTACAGACAGTGCCCTCATGGGCTGAGGAGAATCATCTTGATCTCTAGGCAGAACTGTCCTGCCCTCAGTGGCTGCTGTATATGGACTTGAGGAGAGAACTCTGAGCTGCATAAATTATTCGCCTTGGAGAAGTCCAAGTACGGGGCATTGGCCGCGGCGGTTTGTTGGGCCAGTTGCTCCCCTCCAAGAGATATACAGCTTTGTTTGTAAAGGACACCATTGCAGATTTTGACACCATTACATCTGCGTCAAACTTGGGCAAAACTAAACCAGAAACAAAGTGCTTTAGATTAAGGCCTCAGATCTGTCATTGAACTTCCCTTACACAACAACTTACCATATTTTTTCACCTCAAAGACTTGGGAGGCTAGTGTTGAGACTCTTCACTCCATGGCTACTCCAGTCTTTGTGTCTGATGCACGGACGAAGGACGGACGCACGGACGGACGCACGCACGCACGGACGGACGGACGCACGCACGGACGGAAGGACGCACGCACGGACGGACGAAGGCACGCACGGAGGGAAGGACGGAAGGACGCACGCACGGACGGACGGAAGGACGCACGCACGGAGGGAAGGACGGAAGGACACACGCACGGACGGAAGGACGCACGCACGGAGGGAAGGACGGAAGGACGCACGCACTGACGGAAGGACGCACACACGGACGGAAGGACGCACGCACGGACGGAAGGATGTCCTTCCGACCGTCATATTAACACCCCAGACACCCTTTCAGCACTCAGACATCTTCCTGGCTCCATGATCCGGATGGTCTGATCTACCACGCAGAGACCCTGCTTGAGCAGAAACCATCAGAACGTTTCCCTCTGCAGTAACAGCCGTAGCTGGAGAAAACTGCAGACACCTGGAACAAGGACCAACAAGCTGTAGGACACACACACCAACATTCCCAAATTGAAAAATAGCCACATCATACAGTACCTGGTTCTGGAAATACATATCAGTGTCACACGGCACACTAGCAGCAACTACATTCTCACTGGGAAGAACGCTGTGGACCAGAATCTGCACTGCTGGAGCCATAATCAACGCTGAAAGACAACTGGAACGTCACACAGCCACTTGTGACTGCATCACCAGCCTTTGCTTTAACCGTCTGAAATCCATGGAGGATGATCACTCCTTTGGATAAGACCTGACAGAAGACATAGGTGTGCAAGTTGTGGAACAAACAGACCAGCAAACTTAACTACAAAACTAATGTCCACTCACCATATAGATTGTCAGCGCTGTAGCTACCAGCCTCTCCACAAATGAATACGCCACGGTCACTGGAAACAAAGCACCACATTTGAGCTGCTGATTGAGCTTCATTATAGTTAGGAGAAACAGGTAGGAGAAGCTGAACAAACCTTGTATCTGCAGTGAAGTATGGCGATTTATAACCATAAAAAACCTCTGGATTAGCACTCGCCTGGGGAAGATCAAACTTAATCAGTATCATGCTAGAGAAAGTCTTAATTTTTACAAAATACAAGTCATACCACCAGATTCAGATCAGCCTTAAGATTAGCAGTGTTTAGGGAGAACGCAGCCCGTCCATTCTTGTTTGTGGTTAGATTCAACAGAAGTTTGTTGGACCAGTTGCTCCCCTCCAAGAGATTTACAGCTTTGTTTGTAAAGGACACCATTGCAGATTGACACCATTACATCTGCGAGAGAAAGTCCAAACAAACAGTGAAAAATATCAACTTTGTGACTTAAAATGCATGTCTTCTAAAGATGATAGAGTATATGGTTGGGATCAGCCAATAGCTCACCTGTTCCCTCCTCAGTAACATTTACAAGAAATGTGTCTTGCATTTGGTCTTCAAATTTGGTGTTGAAAAACACCGACACATCAACAGTAAGAGAGGCACAGCCCGTGGCATTCATCTGGTAAGAGAACAAAGACACAATTAAGTCAAGCACAGGCAAAAGAAAAACCCTTAGAAGTAAGGCAGGAGTCACACACCTTTACTGTTTGCTTCATAATTTGATCAGACAGTGTCTGACTCAGACTGTATGGAAATGGATCACGGCACACTTCCACTAAGGCTTGACCAGGTACAGGTTGGCCATATGTACATCTGGGAAACATCATAACAAGATAAAGAACTGACCAACCACAAGACAAGAAAATAAAGCATCACTCACTTGGCACAAGACTCAACTTTCAGTCCCATAACTGCAACGCTGTAGGTCTGCGGTGCGTATACGGTCACGTCAAACTTGGGCAAAACTAAACCAGAAACAAAGTGCTTTAGATTAAGGCCTCAGATCTGTCATTGAACTTCCCTTACACAACAACTTACCGTATTTTTTCCACCTCAAAAACTTGGGAGACTAGTGTTGGGACTCTTCACTCCATGGCTACTCCATTCTGAGGTGCCTAGGTCTTTGTGTCTTGATGGACGGATGCACGGAAGGAAGGTCGCACGCGCGGACGGAAGGACACACGCACGGACGGACGGAAGGACGGACACACGGACGGAAGGACGGACGGACGTCCTTTCAACCGTCATATTAAAAGACCACATTCAGTAACGAAAGCTAATATAGACCATTACAACACAATACTAAATTTTTTCATTTTATCTTTAAGTCATGTATCAATTTCTAGAGCAAGAATTTAATTAACAGACATACCGACACTGAAGTTGCGATAAAAACTCAGGCCCTTGTACTTCAGACACTGGGATAAACTGAAGTGGCATTCTAATCAGAAGTGCCACACACTGAAATATCCAGATTAAAAGCCCAAACAAAAAACCTGATTGAGGCACACAGACAGCCTCTCAGCACTCAGATGTCTTCCTGGCTCCAGGATCCGGATGCTCTGATCTACCACGCAGAGATCCTGCTTGAGCAGAAACCGTCAGAACATTTCCCTCCACAGGAACCGCCGTAGCCGGAGAAAACTGCAGAGACACCTGGAACAAGGACCAACAAGCTGTAGGACACACACACCAACATTCCCAAATTGAAAAATAGCCACATCATACAGTACCTGGTTCTGGAAATACATTTCAGTCCCAAACGGCACACTAGCAGCAACTACATTCTCACTGGGAAGAACGCTGTGGACCAGAATCTGCACTGCTGGAGCCATAATCAACGCTGACAGACAACTGGAACATCACACAGCCACTTGTGACTGCATCACCAGCCTTTGCTTCAACCGTCTGAAATCCATGGAGGATGATCACTCCTTTGGATAAGACCTGACAGAAGACATAGGTGTGCAAGTTGTGGAACAAACAGACCAGCAAACTTAACTACAAAACTAATGTCCACTCACCATATAGATTGTCAGCACTGTAGCTACCAGCCTCTCCAACAAATGAATACGCCGCAGTCACTGGAAACAAAGCACCACATTTGAGCTGCTGATTGAGCTTCATTATAGTTAGGAGAAACAGGTAGGAGAAGCTGAACAAACCTTGTATCTGCAGTGAAGTATGGCGATTTAGAACCATAAAAAACCTCTGGATTAGCACTCGCCTGGGGAAGATCAAACTTAATCAGTATCTAGAGAAAGTCTTAATTTTTACAAAATACAAGTCATACCACCAAATTCAGATCAGCCTTAAGATTAGCAGTGTTTAGGGAGAACGCAGCCCGTCCATTCTTGTTTGTGGTTAGATTCAACAGAAGTTTGTTGGGCCAGTTGCTCCCCTCCAAGAGATATACAGCTTTGTTCGTAAAAGACACCATTGCAGATTGACACCATTACATCTGCGAGAGAAAGTCCAAACAAACAGTGAAAAATATCAACTGGCTTAAAATGCATGTCTTGTAAAGATGATAAAGAGTATATGGTTGAGATCAGCCAATAGCTCACCTGTTCCCTCCTCAGTAACATTCAAACTTAAAAGAAATGTGTCTTGCATCTGGTCTTCAAATTTGGTGTTTAAAAACACTGATGTATCAACAGTAATAGAGGCACAGCCCGTGGCATTCATCTGGTAGGAGAACAAAGACAAAATTAAGTCAAGCACAGGCAAAAGAAAAACCCTCAGCCGTAAGGCAGGAGTCACACACCTTTGCTGTTTGAGTCAGACACTGTCTGATCAAATTATGAAGCAGACTGTATGGAAATGGATCACGGCACACTTCCACTAAGGCTTGACCAGGTACAGGTTGGCCATATGTACATCTGGGAAACATCATAACAAGTTAAAGAACTGACCAACCACAAGACAAGAAAATAAAGCATCACTCACTTGGCACAAGACTCAACTTTCAGTCCCATATCTGCAACGCTGTAGGTCTGCGGTGCGTATACGGTCACGTCAAACTTGGGCAAAACTAATCCAGAAACAAAGTGCTTTAGATTAAGGCCTCAGATCTGTCATTGAACTTCCCTTACACAACTTACCGTATTTTTTCCACCTCAAAAACTTGGGAGACTAGTGTTGGGACTCTTCACTCCATGGCTACTCCATTCTGAGGTGCCTAGGTCTTTGTGTCTTGATGGACGGATGCACGGAAGGAAGGTCGCACGCGCGGACGGAAGGACACACGCACGGACGGAAGGACGGACACACGAACGGAAGGACGGACGGACGTCCTTTCAACCGTCATATTAAAAGACCACATTCAGTAACGAAAGCTAATATAGACCATTACAACACAATACTACATTTTTTCATTTTATCTTTAAGTCATGTATCAATTTCTAGAGCAAGAATTTAATTAACAGACATACCGACACTGAAGTTGCGATAAAAATTCAGGCCCTTGTACTTCAGACACTGGGATAAACTAAAGTGGCATTCTAATCAGAAGTGCCACACACTGAAATATCCAGATTAAAAGCCCAAACAAAAAACCTGATTGAGGCACACAGACAGCCTCTCAGCACTCAGATGTCTTCCTGGCTCCATGATCCGGATGCTCTGATCTACCACGCAGAGATCCTGCTTGAGCAGAAACCGTCAGAACATTTCCCTCCACAGGAACCGCCGTAGCTGGAGAAAACTGCAGAGACACCTGGAACAAGGACCAACAAGCTGTAGGACACACACACCAACATTCCCAAATTGAAAAATAGCCACATCATACAGTACCTGGTTCTGGAAATACATATCAGTGTCAAACGGCACACTAGCAGCAACTACATTCTCACTGGGAAGAACGCTGTGGACCAGAATCTGCACTGCTGGAGCCATAATCAACGCTGACAGACAACTGGAACGTCACAGAGCCACTTGTGACTGCATCACCAGCCTTTGCTTTAACCGTCTGAAATCCATGGAGGATGATCACTCCTTTGGATAAGACCTGACAGAAGACATAGGTGTGCAAGTTGTGGAACAAACAGACCAGCAAACTTAACTACAAAACTAATGTCCACTCACCATATAGATTGTCAGCACTGTAGCTACCAGCCTCTCCACAAATGAATACGCCACGGTCACTGGAAACAAAGCACCACATTTGAGCTGCTGATTGAGCTTCATTGTAGTTAGGAGAAACAGGTAGGAGAAGCTGAACAAACCTTTTATCTTTAGTGAAGTATGGCAATTTAGAACCATAAAAAACCTCTGGATTAGCACTCGCCTGGGGAAGATCAAACTTAATCAGTATCATGCTAGAAAAAGTCTGAATTTTTACAAAATACAAGTCGTACCACTAGATTCAGATCAGCCTTAAGATTAGCCGTGTTTAGGGAGAACGCAGCCCGTCCATTCTTGTTTGTGGTTAGATTCAACAGAAGTTTGTTGGACCAGTTGCTCCCCTCCATATACAGCTTTGTTCGTAAAGGACACCATTGCAGATTTTGACACCATTACATCTGCGAGAGAAAGTCCAAACAAACAGTGAAAAATATCAACTTTGTGGCTTAAAATGCATGTCTTGTAAAGATGATAAAGAGTATATGGTTGAGATCAGCCAATAGCTCACCTGTTCCCTCCTCAGTAAAGAACTGACCAACCACAAAACAATAAAATAAAGCATCACTCACTTGGCACAAGACTCAACTTTCAGTCCCATAACTGCAACGCTGTAGGTCTGCGGTGCGTATACAGTCACGTCAAACTTGGGCAAAACTAAACCAGAAACAAAGTGCTTTAGATTAAGGCCTCAGATCTGTCATTGAATTGCCCTCACATAGCAACTTACCGTATTTTTTCACCTCAAAGTCTTGGGAGACTAGTGTTGAGACTCTTCACTCCATGGCTACTCCATTCTGCGACACTGCGGCCTAGTCGCAGTTGCCTAGGTCTTTGTGTCTCACTGCCTCATTGCTTCTCTGGCTACGTGGTGTGCTCCACCTCCATCACCTCTGGTAATCCCCTTGGTAATGTTGGGACTCTTCACTCCATGGCTACTCCATTCTGTGCCGCCGCCGTGGGATGCAGTTCTGACTGTGGGCTGGGTCTCCGTCGGCTTTTACCTGCTCAAGGCCATCTCCCTGGCTGTCACCACCACCTGCACCAACCTTTCCTCCAGCTACGGACAGCTTGGGCGGACGGGACGGACGGATTGGGCGGACGGGACGGACGGGCGGATTGGGCGGACGGGACGGACGGGCGGATTGGGCGGACGGGACGGACGGGCGGATTGGGCGGACGGGACGGACGGGCGGATTGGGCGGACGGGACGGACGGGCGGACTGGGCGGACGGGACGGACGGACGGATTGGGCGGACGGGACGGACGGACGGATTGGGCGGACGGGACGGACGGACGGATTGGGCGGACGGGACGGACGGACGGATTGGGCGGACGGGACGGACGGACGGATTGGGGCGGACGGGACGGACGGACGGATTGGGCGGACGGGACGGACGGATGGATTGGGCGGACGGGACGGACGGACGGATTGGGCGGACGGGACGGACGGACGGATTGGGCGGACGGGACGGACGGACGGATTGGGCGGACGGGACGGACGGACGGCTTAGCTGGAGGACAATAAAAAGCCTAAGAGAACCATGCAAAAGGTTTGTGCAGATGGTGGTGACAGCCAGGGGGGATGGCCTTGAGCAGGGAAGGGCAGACGGAGACCCAGCCCACAGTCAGGACTGCATCCCACGGCGGCGACGCAGAATGGAGTAGCCATGGAGTGAAGAGTCCCAACACTACCAAGGGGATTACCAGAGTTGATGGAGGTGGAGCACACAACGTAGCCAGAGAAGCAATGAGGCAATGAGACACGAAGACCTAGGCGACTGCGACTAGGCCACAGCGCCGACCCCCTGAAGTGGAAGCAGCGATCCTGAGGTTAGAGGCTGAGCTGCAGTGACCATAGATGGAGGTGGAACCTGAGGGAGGGCGGAGCTATTCAAAGGCGAAAGAGGTGGAGAGCCGCAGGGCAGCGAATGGGCCGCAAGTCCAGGGCGAAGAAGATGTAATGTCCAACAGGGTGGTAAGAGAGCACAGCTGCATTCTCACTGGGAAGAACGCTGTAGACCAGAATCTGCACTGCTGGAGCCATATCGACACAGTCACTTTGTTTGCAACTGGAGTCATGGATATCTGTTAAGAATAATCAAGGTTAGGAAAGGGAAACAATTTGAAGGCTTCTGGGATAAGGGATGACATTTTGCTTACCTTTCCATTAAGCATTGATCCAAGTTCAAATTAAGGAACCAGGAGATCCACAAATGTGAATCTGCAAACTACAAACATAAAAGGACACCATTGCAGATTGACACCATTACATTTGCGAGAGAAATTCCAAACAAACAGTGAAAAATCAACTTTGTGGCTTAAAGTGGATGTCCTGTAAAGATGATAGAGTATATGGCTCAGATCAGCCAATATCTCACCTAATCTAAACCAGAAACAAAGCAAAGCAGAAAAAAAAAAAAAAAAAAAAAAAAAAAAAAAAAAACAGGACCATCATCCATTTGATCACTGGATGGCAAACAAACCAAGAGTAATGGTGTCGAAGGAAAGCTTCAATGGTTCACAATGCTTATTTTCACCATCTCTAAAGTTTAGGAAACAACACTTCAAAGCCTAATGGTACTTACCTGGTTTTTTAAGTCCATCAACAGCAAAGAGAAAAAGGGTGAAAATGAGCTTCTCCCAAACACAAATCTCCCTCACAGCCATGAGGACAGCTCACCCAAGACTAACCCTTATCAAGCCACTCTTCAGACTCTAATATATCAGGAACGCATTCATCT